CTGGGATTTGCCAATACCCTTTAGTCAGGTCTAGGGTACTGATGAAACGAGTTTGCCCCACCCGATCAATCAAATCATCTATGCGTGGCATTGGGTAGGCATCCACTCGAGTTGCCACATTAAGTCGACGATAGTCTACGCAGAGTCGTATCGTACCATCCTTCTTCTTTACAATAACCATTGGTGCAGCCCACTCGCTGTTACTTGGCTCAATGATCCCCTGCTCCAACATCTCCTGGATTTCCTGCTTCACAGTGTCCCGGTATGCGTGGGGAAGTCGGTAGGGTTGGAGACGGATTGACTGAGTGTCATCTGTCTCGATCTTGTGACTGGCCAAAGCAGTCAACCCCGGAACCTTTGTCAGAGTTTTGTGATGTTTCTTCAGCATTGACTCCAACTCACACCTCTGTTCTGTTGTCAACTCCCCTCCAATAATGTAGTCTCCCTCAGAGCCACCATCCCAGGTTGGTACCTCCTCTTCTTCCCCTTCCACACCCCCCTCTGCGAAATAGTTCGTGCTTGTTGGCACATTCCACTTGCGAAGCATGTTGACATGGAAGATACGTCGTCGTTTTCTTCTGTCCGCCATGTCTACCATGTAGTTCACTTTCCCAACCCTCTTCACGATCGTGTATGGTCCTTGCCACTGTGCTAGAAGCTTAGAGGTTGAGGTAGGTAGGAGCACCAGCACTTTCTCCCCTTCCTGTAGCACACGCTGTCTTGCTGTACGGTCGTACCACCGTTTCTGTTGAGCTTGTGCTTGCTTCATGTTCCTTTGTACCAGGTTGGACGTACTTTCCAACCTCTCCCGCATGAGCATAATGTGTGAGATTACGCTCTCCTTGTTGGACTTGGTTTCCCATTCCTCTTTTAGGACATCTAGAGGTCCTCGAATCTCCTGTCCGTATAGTAGCTCGAAAGGCGAGAATCCGGTCGATTCTTGCGGGGCCTCCCGGTAGGCAAAGAGTATGTACGGTAGAAGACGGTCCCAGTCCTTTCCATCTTCTGAAGCACATTTCCGCAGCATCTCCTTTAATGTTCCATTAAAACGTTCCACCATCCCATCGGTTTGGGAATGGTAGGGTCTGGTACGCAGGCTGTCGATGTGAAGCTGACGATGCATCTCCGCGAGAAGTTCAGAGGTGAAATTGGTCCCCTGATCGGTTAGTATCTCCTTCGAATGCCAACTCTTGAGAAAATGCATACCAACTCCTCAGCCACATGTTCTGCATCCACTGATCGCATTGCTACTGCCTCCGGATACTGTGTGGCATAATCACACACGACCAGCACATATCGGCGTCCAGCTCTACTGCGGGGAAGAGGTCCGACAACGTCCATGGCTATACGCTCAAATGGTTTTGCTATTATTGGAAGGGGTACCATAGGAACTCTTCTCACGTGGCGGTTCCCGGCCTTCTGGCACTCAGCACAGCTCTTGCCAAAATTATCAACATCACGTAAGAGTGTCGGCCAGTAAAATCGCCTCATGATCTTGGCTGCTGTCTTCTTCTTTCCGAGGTAACCACCAAGAGGGATCGAGGTGCAGGACGGCTTTTCGACACTCCTTTGGGAGGATGATTTGTTCGATTCCGTTTTCCTCACCCTCTCCTCGCGGTACCCATCATCGGTACATGATCCCATCTCTTCGGAAGTAACCAGCTAGATCCGCCACATGAGCTAATGAACTGTCCGAGTCTTGAAGATGTTGTAGTTCCTCAGAGAGGCCTTCCATCGGAGCTTGCTTCTTGCCAGTATCCAGTGCTCGTACCAGGCCATATTTCTTCCTGGTGGCTCTCTTCTCTCGTCTACCAACTCTCAACCGTCTGACTCCACCCCCTCAGTCACACTTCCACTTCCGTTATTTGCTCCCCCATCTTCCTTACTGTCTCCGTCCTCTGCCACTCCCCACTCTTTTCGATAGCTCCCTCCTCCACATCCCTTTGCTCCCCCTCCAGTGGCTTTGTTACCTGCAGTAGTCCTCTTCTTCAACTTTTCTTCTTCCTCCTCTTGCTTTCTGGCTTGAGCCCTGGTAGTGATCAGTGCGTGCTCTACTCCCTGTGAGTGGATCCGTGCGGGATTGCCGTGTACCAACGCTCCTAGTTGTGGCACATCAGTCCCCAGTAACACCGACATTGGAAAGGTTTTGGACACTGCTGCTCTGACTGTGAGATTGAATCCCTCGAGATTGATGGTGACATCTGCCAACGAGTACAATACATTGTCTCCGTATACACACCGAATTGTTGCAGCTTCTCCTTCGATCAACTGGTCCTGTGAAACCAGATCTCCTCGGACCATCGTCTGGGTACAGCCAGTGTCTAGCAGGATGTCTGTAACCTCCACTCCCTGGACGCAGCCGCATCGTGTCATAGATTCACCCCTGCCATTCAGACCACAAAATCCTGCCTTATCGGGACAATTGTACAAGATGTGGCCACACTTTTTGCAGTTGAAACAGATGCTCTTAGAGTTCTTCTTGTATCCATCAGGATGTTCCTCCTGTCCATTCTGCTCTTTCTGCTCCTCCTGCTCCTTCTTTCTGTCAGCATCTTTTGTTGTGCTCTTCTGTGGACAATTCCGGACTAGATGTCCCGTACTACCACACTGGTGGCACTGCTTGCGTGGTCCTGTCTTCTCTCCCTCGCCCCATCCTGGTTGCTTGCTGTCTGGCCTGAAGATAGTTGCCCGCGCGTTCCCCTGCATTCGATCCAGTCATAGGCTTCCTCTCTGCCACCCAAACACGTAGATCCTCTGGCATGGTTTATAGTAGTTGTTTTACTAGACTCTTCTTAGAGTTTTACTCTCTTCAACACATGGTTTGTGTTGTCGCACCCCTTCATCCACTTGTGCAGTAAGTCCTCCAGTTGGACCACCAACTCCGCATAGGTTTTGCCTCTTGCCGTTGGACGGACTGAAAACGTTGGGGATAGGTCTCTTGGCTGATGTTGTAGCGTCGCAATATAGCTTCCTTCACTTTGTCATAATCCGTCGTCTTTGTCTTTTGCATTGCGGCGTACGCCTGTTGAGACCAGACGTACGGCCCACGTAGCTCTGTCCACGCTGTCCACCGTCATCAGACGCTCAAAGGTAGTCAGGTAGGCTTCGATATCGTCTGCGTCGCTGAGTCTTGTGATCTTCGGCTCCACTGCTGTTCCGGTGGCGCATCCGCTGTCTCTCCTCTCGTCGACTGGCATCATCACCTCTCGCAGCTGCTCCATCATCGTCCGCATGTTCGTCGCGTTCAGTTCTGCCAACCGCTTTCTCTCCTCCTCCTGTCTTGCGCGCTCCACGGCTTGTTCCTCGAAAGCCACCCGCTGCTGTTGCTCGGTCGTCTCCGACACGAGTCGTAACATCTGAGTCATGAACTTCTCCATCAGCTGTAGCGTCTCGCTACTTGCCTGCCCGTCTCTGAGTCTCGCCGTCTTCTGGCTCGCTGTCCTTTTCGAAGCCACTTTTCCTCCAGGTTCCACCCGGTCTCCTTGTTCTGCCATTTTGTAACGTGTGCCCGACCGCATAGTCATACGGCGTGTTCTCTGTCTCTCCGTCGAACTCCTGTGGATTTCGCAGCGCTCCTTCTGCGAGGATCCCACCGCTGCCACCACTTGTCAGAGCTCCAAGTCCAAGTTGCTTTTGCGTCACAGGTTGCCGAAGGGTATGGTCATAGACTTATCAGAAAATGATGAAGACGGGCACACTTACAGAACGACAGATGGAGCTTTTATACAGACTAGGCTGCATGACCAGTAGACTACAATCACTAATTGTACAAGATTACATAGACTGACTGACTCCATGAGCACAATAGTCACACATCTGTTTACTTACAAGGAGCCTGATCCACCACACCAGTCATAATCAATTGACATGCCAAGCACCTTCACATGCCCAGTGCTAACTAGCAACTGTAATTGCCGAGCGCGTTAGCGGGTTGTATTCTCGCGATTATGCGTACGTACGTACATACGTGTTGTCACACTTAAGAATGTCAATTAGTCATGCTTAGGAATGTCAACTTCCGTCATTTGTAGGAAGTCTAGCTTCCGCTGTGCACGCAGATTCGTAGGAAGTCTGGCTTCGCGCGCAGTCAGTAGAGCGCGCGCACGAGCGGCCTCAGTCGGACTGTTTACGCATTGGCTTGCAGGCGCGAGGCAAAATATGCGCGTGCGCATTCCTAGTTTAACATGATATTGGCAGCCTCTGTGAAAGTTTTGACCATTGATTATCAAGGAAATCTGCACAAGATTCCTTTTACGTTTTTAATTTTCTGCTGTAGGGATGGGATTTTTGCAAAAGCTGTGACATGAATACTTTCTTCAGTTGGCTTCCTGAGAAAGAGAAACAAAGGATTAGAGGTCTTGAACAATTTGATGAATATGAGGAATGGCATCTAAAATGTTCACACTATATGATACTGTGTGCCTTTAAGGGCCGAGTTAATGTTTTAAAAGACCACATACTACCTAACTCCTTTGTGGGTGATGATTCATTGCGTCCAGTATACAAATCCGTGAAACTGACAGTGGAAAGCATTTACTACTCTTCTAGTTGTTTGAAAAGGTAAAGTTAAATTGTGTTTGTTCCAAACATGGTTTCACATCTCATTCCTGCGTCATTAGTTGTGGACCTAACGGTATATACCTTCCGTCGTTTTGGGCCCTGTTATTATTATTATGCGCAGAGATAATATAACCTTTGATCTTCGATGTTCGTGATCGTGCTGCTGCCGCGTGTATATACGATGTATCAACGTCAACAACTGTGTTACGAGAAAGCAACGACTTCACTGAACCAATCAACTCCCTCGTTCACTTGCTCTCTCCCTTGTTCTGCCGTACCCTTTCACTTTCATTATCTCCCTCATTGTCCCGTTCTCTTGCACTCCCCACGTCTCCTTTGTTCTCCAGTTCTCTTTCATTCTCACTGTCTCTCTTGTCCTCTTGTTCCCTTGCATTCTCCAACCTCTCCCTCGTTCTCCCTTTGTCTTGTTCTCCAGTTCTCTTGCACTCTCAAACCTCTCCCTCTTTCTCCTGTTTTCTTGTCCTCCAGTTCTCTTGCATTCTCCAACCTCTCCCTCGTTCTCCCGTTCTCCAGTTCTCTTGCATTCTCCAACCTCTCCCTCCTTTTTGTGTTCTTATTAACTGTCCACCGGTTTACTCATTCTCTAACCCAAGAATGAGATACGAGAAGCAGCCCTGGCCCTCTTGGTTGCACAAGGGTTGAAGTAACTACTTAGGTTATCACTCAGTGATCTACTACGCCTCTTTCTGGTCTTCATGGTTGCTAGAGAGCTTTCTCTGCCACTTGCTGCATTGGAAGGGGTTGCTGGAGGAGAAGACTGGGTGGCCAGACTAAAACTGATCTCCCGAGACGGCGAAAATGACAGTGTGTGCTGAGAGGATAAGTATGACTTTGTTTGTTGTGAGGAGGAAGACAACTGTATCTGCTAAGAGTTGCCAGAGTTGCTTCTCCCAAGTATCAATGATCATTCTTTTGTTAGAGAATGAGTAAACCGGTGGACAGTTTATAAGAACACAAAAGGAGGGAGAGGTTGGAGAATGCAAGAGAACTGGAGAACAAGAGAACAGAAAAACGAGAGAGAGGTTTGAGAGTGCAAGAGAACTGTAGAATGAAATGAAGGAGACGAGAGAGACAGTGAGAATAAAAGAGAACTGGAGAACAGGGGAGACGGTGGGGAGTGAAAGAGAACAGGAGAACAAGGGAGAAGGTTGAGAGTGTAGAAAACACGAGTATGGGAGAACGAGGGAGTTGATTCGTGCAGTGCAGTCATTGCTTTACATGCTTTCTCGTAATGCAACCGTTGACGTTGATACGTTGTATGTGCGGCAACAGCACGATCACGATCATTGAAGGTCAAAGGTTGTATTACCTCTGCACATAACGGGATTCAATGTCATTTTCTCAGCGCCACTCTTTTATCAATGTTATTAACATCTTTGGTGTATACAAGATTGTGACACCTCTCATTGTTTACGATTTGAGTAAACTAAGACCTGAATATACAAACTCTAATCTAAACATGAGCTCTGTATCATTCCTGAGCGGCAGTGATTTTATCAGCTCCACTGCCTAAACAGCATGATCTGACTTTCCTGCAATTTTACCTGCCATCTAGTCCCAGTGGTCTCCAGCTGTATAGAGTTTTTAGCTGCTTTCTCTCTTGCAATTGTCCAGCTTGGCCACGTTAGTTGATCGCTGATTTAGCAGAAAGTTTCATAAGAATAAATCTGATAATACTCTTAGTAGTGATTGGTCGATGTTCACAATATACGGCCTAAGCACGCAATGCAACAAGAGAAGTTGCAGGAAATTTGTGAACATACTGATATTGTGTCACATTTTCATTGCACAATGTTTGCGAGATTTTATTTTCCTGCGGCAACATAAATTGTTGTACAAAAGTATGCGTGAGAGTTGCAATGATGTGACAAAACGCATGCACATAAAGCATCAGCGACATCATAAATTGTTGTGCATTGCGACATAGTGTTCTGTTGCAACTCTTGCGAAATATCATGGACCATGCTCTAGGATAAAGATTCTGCACATCAATTGATTGTGACCCTTACTTTTAGGGGAATTGGTTAAAAGCGAGTTTTGTTATGTGACAGTCACTGGATGTTGTATCACACTGACTGCAGGTATTGCAAGTAATGGGCCAGTTACATGGGTCTTTGGGTTACTGGAGTTTGAAGCAGGGGTGTGTCTTTGACCAAGTAGAGTATGGTTTGTGATCTGTCTCTCATTCATTTGTTATACAATAGGTATGGCCATGGATCCTGTGTGCTTTCTGACGGTAGCATTGTTATCATCGGAGGTTATGGAGAATCATCATTTGGAGGCATTACACCTCATTCACGTTTAAATGACGTTTTAAAACTACAACTGGATACAGAGGGATGGAAGCTCTGTAGTCTTGATAATGTTCACGGCAGTGGTCCAGGTTTGACAAAAAGCTAGCGAGGGAAGGGAGCATGCCTTATGTTTGAGCAGAATAATTAACCCATTTTTAGCAGCACCCATGTTTAATGAGGGGGGAGGAGCGCTGGGTGGGCGAAACGCCCCCCCCCTTTTTACTTATAGCATTCCTGTGAGTGCATTGTGTTTTCCCCTAGGGAAGGGTGAAATTAACGTATTATCCTCGCTGCACTCGGAACACCATGGCCCCAGGGCTTCTAAATCTGCGTGGTTTCAACTAAAGTTCTATGGAGGTTAACACTATCCTGTAGCATTCCTCAATAGTATTCTATTTAGTTTTCCTCGTCCTACTGAGAAAACTACTTTCTCGTAGTTGACCAATAAGAAAATGCCTGAGTGACGAGAATCAGTTCATTTTCTGGTTTGTTCAGGGCTAGCCGGATAGCAGCCATAAATCTACAAGTTTGAATTCTGCAAAATTGTTAGAAACACATGTTTTACGTAGCTACACCGCCACAGCTGTTCCCTTCCCACAGCCCTGTAAAGTAGGCCACCGATAATGGGAAACCATGCGTTTCATGCAGAGAAAAGCGCTATGGCCACTTTATTTTGTTTGGCAAAGATATGCTATATATCCAGCTACGATTGGTAGCCTTTTTTTAAACCCCGTCACAAAATTGATGGCATCTGGTTGCATCTACAGTATACAGCGGGCAAAATTCTCCATGATATATTCAACTTCCTAAGTGGGTTCAATAGCTAAAGTGTTTTGTGCACTGCCAATAGTACCTAGTCTTTTTCTCTTTCTGATGTAGGGGTTTTGATGCATCATACTGCCACAGCAATTGCTAATGGAACTGCAGTATTTGTGATTGGTGGTCGCACGTCCCCAGCTTGCCCTAACAAAAAAATGTTTGTTTTGAGGGAGAATGAACCATTTTCTGATGCATTTGAGTGGTCAGAAATAGTGCTCCATCCAGAGTCTGCTGTAATGGAACCCTGTTGGAGACATACAGCTAACTGCATACATGTTGATAATGGTAAGTACAATGCATTTTTCATTTAATCTTTAATCTTTCTTATCACTGTTTGTAGAAGAGGTTGTGTTAATAGTTGGTGGGTCATGTGTCAGGACTTGCGCACTGGTGGATATCTACAAGCTGAATACTGCTTCATGGAGATTGGAAAAGGTGTTGGAATTTTTTTGTGCAGGTTGTTGTGTGTTTTACTAGAAAAAATGAGGAGAAATTAATTAAAGGATTGTAGAAAGGTGCCTTGTGGAGTTTTACGCTGTTCCACTTTCTGCTAGACCAATGCTCTAGGCTCTAGCAACTCCACTGGATCTGTCTGAACTACGACGGCATGACATGTACGTATGTGACACGGTTATGCTTGATCCCACTCGCCACTAAATGTACTGCAGTCATGTAGTTCACAAAGCTATCACCGTTTGTGAACACACACGTGTTATGTATTGCCTCAGGCTCTTTCTTGTAGTTTACAGTAAACAAAACTTTTCACAAACAAGAATGACAAGGGCGTCCCAATATGGATATCTACATTCTTACAAAATTTCATGGCTTTATCTATTTTGGTGTTTGATGTCGAATCGAAAGAAGAAGAAAAGAAGATAGATGATAATGATGAAGAACAAACTTTCCTATCATAATGCTAGATATACCTTGCCCATCCCTATAATACTACTACCATTCTTAGTGATGGGTAGCAATTTCAAGAAGAGCTCAGACAGGAAAGTTGTGAGTATAGGCAGCGAATGGAATACAACCTTGATATAGGATCATGTAAAACAGTTTTTTGCAACAAAATGTTCATTATCACAACAGTGTTTCTGTTGTAATGGTAAAATTCAGACATTAACCAGAGAGTGGGGCGAGTCACCCTATCCGACTTAGAGATACTACTCTGCATAGAAGAGACGTTGTAATCAAACTTTAGTGAATATTTGTTGTTCTCCTTTTGGGAATGTGTTCTTTAAGTTGTTTGCGTTCTCTGTGCCAATCAAAGTGTATTTATTAATGTTCACTTCAGCTATGTGTGTCCCTACCTGAGGGAAGGTGTTTTCATTCCTGTGTTTCATGCTGGGAAGGATTAATGATTTGTGGAGGAATGGATTCATCCATGCAGCCTATATCATCATGTCTCTACCTCAGACATTCACTACCGGATGTGTGGAATCTTTCCCCTGTGCACTTTAGCCCTCCCATTCCACCCAAGTATGGCTATCTTGTCAGAGGATGTTGCCTAATATACAGTCATGGCCCCAAAGTTATATAGTGTGAATAACAATAAAGTCACAAGCAAAACCAACTACACTCAGATTTCCCAAGGATAAGGGCTGCTGTTGGTGGGATAACCCACAACGCTCAGATGTTTTTTAAACTCTTTAATATGGTGTGTTAAAAGGCGTCCTCAAAATTTTAAAATAAATATATGGACATACCTCAAATTTCCAATGCAGGTACAGTATGTCTGCTGCTGTCACTGGAGATCATGTTATATTGTCAGGAGGTGTAGGCTTGGAGCCTTCACCTGACCTGATTGTAATCAATCTTGCTCTTCGGATATGGTTTGGAGCTATGGTAAGTTTTTCATCCCGGTAGATACAATTTCCAAGTCAAATACCATTAGGAGTACTCTTATGTATAGGTTCCTTCTGGTAAGTATACTTGCCATGATCTTCCCCAGCACAATGCCTATAATGAAAGCAAAGTGGGTGTTGATTAGGGAGTGACTCAGCCCTCAGCTGTTGGTGTTACTACAGGCAGATAACCTATGCTTGGTAACACTCCCATTGCTGGGGTAACATATTATACCAAATACTGTTCAATGGGCGTAGATGTTCAATTGCAATGTATATCCCACCCCGTGATTTAAAACGTCATTGTTTTACGTGCGTAACTTGTGTGCGCCTTGCAGGCAAAGACTTACTATTGAAGTGAATTGCTTAGTAACCAGAGCAGCGTAACAGTCTGGACTATTTGAATGAGTGGTGGAAGCTGTAGATGGGGGGGGGGGCTACTCGATTAAGCAACATCACTTTTATGGTCTTCTCGAAATGGAAAAGACTCAAGAAACATGTCTACCAGTCCTGTTGCATGAGTTGCAGAAAGTGTATAGAGCTGATTAAGTGATAATGACATTCGATATAAATTGGGTAAGACTTGGCTAAGGACAGTGCCGTTGCACTCTTGGAATTGATCATCCTGAATGAAAGAAAATCAGAGGATATTCATGTGCTAGTGCAAGGGTAGCAACATAAAAAGCTGAGCAGTGAAAGACTACAAGAAACTGCACTCCCTGGCCAAAAAGCACCAGTAATCGATTAATAACAGTCCTAACTAACTGAAATCAGGTCTTTTGCGTGTTGAACTTACTGTGTGTTGTGCCGTATTCTAGTGTTTGTAACAAACTTAGAAGCAACCGCACAAATTTAAAACTACATCCATGCAATGTACTATGTTTCTTCTAACTAACTTCATAATCTGCAGCTTGAGTATCGTTCCCTCACTAACGCTGTTGGTGCTGTAAAGGAAGAGATAACGCCACAAATAATCGGATATCACTCCCGCCGCCGTGCGGCTGTGCTAACGTGGTAGTATTGACAAAATCTACATCAACGAACTCCAGGAATTTACAGTTTAGGCGAGTCCATACGCAGAGCGTGACTTTTGTGTGATCTTCCCGCATGCGCATTCGCGACAGTGCTGACCTCGCAATTCAGACTAATCATTACACAGCTCAACATATTTACTAGTTTACAACTTCACAAACATTACACAGCCATCTTTCAGGAAGCTTATTCTTTTTGAGGTTCACACAGGACATGTGATACCAGTCTTCACATCCATCACAGCACACCATATTCTCATCATAGTCCTCCGGCATCAGGCACTTGCAGTATATTTTAATATAGCGAACTATAGGAGAGGGTTTTGGTAATGATTCGGAGGTACTTGTTGGAAAGGATTTCAGAACTCCTCGTGACAAACATTCGTACAGATGTGGTCTCATCTTGGTCTAATCAAATAGAGAATATTGCGAATTCGAGGCAAACCTCTACAGCATACGAAACTGCAAATACCCGCAGTCTTTTCGACCCTTCTGGGGGTGGGCAGCCATAATTATATACATAACTTGAGACCATGCCAGTTCTATGGTTGAGTTCACAATGATATGGACGTAGCCTTACGACTTCATATCCTGAAGCCTTCGCCATCTCGTTAACAGCATAGTTCGGTGTGGGACAGTTTGCAACGATCAACTGCAGCAATTCTCCCTTCATAGCATAGTCTGGAAACTCAATTGCCTTTGATGTTAGCCAGTCCTTCATCTGCTGCTTTGTTGAGCTCATGGTAGGCACCAGTTCCACCTTACGACTATGATAAGGTGTGTTATCCATTACAATCACCTCAGACGTTTGTCGTCATTCACCACACAAGCCCTATATTGTCGCCACTTTTCTCAGAAGATGAAGTTGTTTAGTGTGAGGACAATGGCCACAAACACAGCATTGTAAAACTCATCATTAGTTGAACGAACATTGAAGTCTTAGACTGCACACAAAGCAGTCACAACCAAAACCGAGTAGCTGTCAGAGAGGGCTGTGCATTACGTGCTTAGGAAATGAGTTATTAACCCTCGGCGCGCATGCGCAGCGAGGGTACTGTAGTTGGGTGTACGTGTGTGTGTGTGTGTGTGTGTGTGTGTGTCTGTTACTACATCTCACTTCTCGAGTGTTTGTTCGTCTAACAAACGATACGACCTACCCAACGGGCAATGAACGTCAGAAAGTTTGTGGGGGTTTCTCTGAAAATGCTCAGTTGCAAAGCTAGGGCATTGTACGGCTAATGCGTAGTCGGCCATTTTTATCGCTGCGGAAAATGCGCATGCGCTTATATTTATTTAGCACAGGCTTACTTCGATCGGGTTCGCTTGCTCTGTGTGTGTTGAAGGCACAAGAAGTCACAACGAAGGGCGTGTATCGACTCCCGCATGCCATCTACAACTGTATGTCAGACTCTCCGCGAGCTATACTAGCGGGAGACCACGAAATAGCCCAGCCCATCAATTAGCAGTACAGCACATGCGCAGTTCGCCGAGGGTGTTTTGCACTGTACAGCGGTTTGCGCGAAACTTGCAAATAAAAGATTTGCGCATGCGCACAATTTGAATTTGCAGAGCCATGGCTTCATACAAGAACAAGCAAGCGTAGACGTCCGCTTACAGTGACGATATGCGGTGGAGGAGGGTCTGGATGGGCCAGAAAAGTTATCCTTGTGCTTCTTCTTTAGTTTCTGGAAAATATCATCAACGTGTCTAGAACTGTTAGATTCACTTTTAGCTTTATGTTTCTGTCTAACTGTAACACCTTGCTCTTCTTGATTCTTCCCATCACACCACAATGATATACACTCCTTATACATAGCCTGAGGAGTCACCAGCCAGCGGCTCTTGCCTTCAAAATATCCTAAATTCCCCTTCTTCTGGGACTAACTCTTCAAACTCATGCCACTTAAAGCCAATCACAACGCTGCCACTGACTTGTACTTATGCTTTACATTATGCATATGTCTCACAGTGAACTTGGTTCGCTTCACAGGGTCATATATTTTCACTTTATAAGCAAATGTCTGAATCCTGCGTGACAAGAAATGCCCCTGATATCGTACCTGGACCGCAGACCTAGTGCCTGTTAAATAAGTATTAGGCTTTGGTAAGACCTGTACACCAACTCTTGCAAGTTTCGCGCAAACCGCTGTAGTGCTTTTCATTAACCCTCGGCGCGCATGCGCAGCGAGGGTTACTGTAGTTGGGTTTGTGTGTGTGTGTGTGTGTCTGTTACTCTACATCTCACTTCTCGAGTGTTTGTTCGTCTCACAAAGGATACGATCTACTTTAAGCGACGATTAAGAGATGGAGAGGGGGAGCGGGCACATTACCTTTCCGTTGCTACTTTCTTCTGGTCTAGTTTCACTAGCTACGTATGCGCAAGCTGCCTTATTCATGACAACACCATAATAACTTCGTTACTTGCTGAAACATTTTACCTGTAGGTACGTAGCTATAATTATTATCGCTAGTAATGATGATGGTTGTACTTGCTCCGCTCGCCCAAAGAATTTCCACTAGTAGATATACGTGGCGAGTGTTATATGGCGTGTGTCAAAAATAGTACACACGCGCGGTGATGATGAGGTCGGTCTACTTTGCTGAGAGGTCGGTCCGCTTTACTATTAGAAGTCGGTCTACTTTTTAGGAGGTCGGTCCGCTTTACTAGGAGGTCGGTCCATTTTACTAAGAGGTCGATTTACTTTATATACTAGTAGCGGTCGCTCAACTTCACGAAGAGGTCGGTCTATTTCACTTGAAGGTCGATCCGTTTTTGTAGGAGGTCGGTCCACATTTTACTAGGAGGTCCGCCAATATGGAGTAAGAATGGGAGCAGCGGTGGTGGTTGGCGCAGGCACCGGGCCACTACACTCGCCGTCAGTCCTCGACCTCTACGCTCATCCGCTGCAAGTTTTTTCTCACGGGCGGGCCCGCCCGTCACTCTAGTAAGGTAGACACTCGGGTAGACCGACCTCCTAGTAAAGTAGACCGACCTCTAATAGTAAAGCGGACCGACCTCCTAGTAAAATAGACCACCCTCTCAGTAAAGTAGGCCGACCTCATCGACCGCGCGTGCGTACTTACTATTTTTGACACTGATTATGTTTGCAGCATAACCCTCGGCGCGGGTTACGGTGTGTGTACGCGTCTGTCTGTCAGTCTGTTACCGCCACCACGCGCAACAAACAGGCCAAAAAGCGACACCAACGGGTTCAGCGCTTCATTTTCAAAATGGCGATTTTCGTAAAAGCGTTCTAAAGTTATGCTAATTAGCACAGGCTTTCCTCGACCGGGTCCGGTCGCTCTGTGTATCTTGAGGCACAAGAAGTCGCAACGAAGGGCGTGTACCGACTCCCGCATGCTATCTACTACTGTAGCTAGCCCGTGCCAGACTGTCCGCAAGCTACTATATAGCGGGAGACCACAAGGAAACGCTAGCCCAGTCCATCAATTAGCGGTACCGCGCATGCGCAGTTCGCGGAGGGTTTGCACTTCAGTGCTTTTCATTTGCTTAGTAATTGAGTCATAACTGCAGCACCCTGGACTATTATAGTCCCTGTGTGGAGCATTTTTGTAATTACACTGTGCATACACAAAAATTCTTGTCCCGACAGAGTGGCAGTTTCCTCCAATGAATATCGCATATCCTTAAAAAAGATGCACCTGTACTGGAAGCTCTGCACGAGGTAAGCAATGGAACAGTGATCCTGTTCCTTCTGCACACGCTTCCCTTCTTTTTTATCTGGATGTCTCATCCCCTAGCATCTACATTACTTTCTTTGGTAAAGTCAATGAGGTAACTCATAAAAAATTCTGAAAACACTTTTCTGAACATACCCCTCTCCATGAACGATGTGGAGCATTGTGGCAACGAAGTGTTTGTCAATAGCGATCACAGTAGTTGTCTGTTATTGATAACAGGAAGTTCTCTTGTATACCTCATCAAATCCACAAAGTTTCATCGAGACAGACATTTATCTCTAGTAACGACGATTTTTCTTACAGTTGCTCCTACCAAAAAAACGTGCCCCCCCCTTCCCCCCAGTACAGAGTAACTTGACCAGGGCAGAAGGGAAAGGTGTGGGGTCTAGGACTCAATTGTATATATAGTGCATAATTGCAGTAGATGGTCTATGACGTGCATTCTCCACAGCTCTTGGCTTACTAGCACATGCACACACAGTGCTGTGTCACTGCCTTTCCTGCAACTAATGGACACTCTTCGGTGTTGTGTCAATCATGTTGTGTACGTTGTGCGTCCAAGGAAGTCTCCTTGGGAGCATCATCAAAGTTGGAGATATGAATGTCAGACACCAACAACAAAGGGAATTGTTAAACGGAAAAAGCTAGCCATTTTGATAGAGAAATCTAACCATACACTCTCTCCTCCCCTGTCTCCCTCTCCCCACTCCTCTTTTATCTCTCCCTCCTTTTAACCTGACGAGGAAAACTGTACCGATGCAATGCACAAAGGTTTGGGGTACGTAAAGCCAGATCTTTTTACTTTCCGACCACAAAGGGCACCTACCATTGCCCCGTGTGGATGCATTTAATAAGATCTCAGTGGTTGTGACGACAGGATCGTAGGTCCGAATTACTGCCAAAAAAGCTATGCGTGCACACGTACACACAAAAATATGCATTTATGTGTATAAACACACATAAATCTCGGGATGGAATAATAATATTGTCTGCCAAATGAAATACAATAGCGAAACAGGGCGTTTTAGTATTCAAGAGAGTTGTTACCTATCCTATTATTAAGGACCAAAATAATTACGCAAAGAGCCTTAAGTTGTGTCTACATACTATGTGGTCTGTTCCATGATTACGTAAAATGAAAGGTGAGTATACAAATGTGTACATGCTTAGTGTTTTTTTTTAGATTTGTGCTAAAATTTTCAAGGCTTTTTTGATGTGTGTATATTATGTTATACTAAATTTTTACTCAGATATTTCACGAAAAGGAAGATATCTTACTAGAGAAACATACATGTCACTTGCTGGCTGGCCAGAAACTAGTGTTACTTGGAGGAGGTGGAAACTGTTTTTCGTTTGGAACTCATTTTAATTGCGGGATATGTACAATTGACACAAATTCCTTATTTTGAACATTCTCTGTTAGAGGTACTATGTGACAGGCAGGAAGCACGCCAATGGGCTTAGTCAGTCTCACTGAAGTGTATCTACAAAAAACAGTACAGTAGCTCAAGGGATACAGAGGGTAAAGAGTGTCACACTGGTTTATCTTTCCATAGAGAGTAATACTCAGGTGGAAGCCATAGCATTAGGGCCACCGACCACGCACCCAGAGCAATGGGCGGAAACATTAATAAATGAGAGTATTTGTAAAAAAAGGTTGAATATGTATAAATATGTACAAAAATGAAGCAAGGTAATAATGGTTGAATCAGCATACGTACAAAAATGAAACAAGTGCACTTTATCCAAAAACATGTAAGAAAAATTGTCAGTTGGTAACAGACATGTCAGAAGAATTCAAAGTTGGCAAATGATGAGGTGGTGGGGTGCAAATAGTGTCTGTGTCAGGAGAGCCCCGACCTGAATCTTTGTCATTTGTAACATATATGACTGTAAATGTATTGGGAGGCCCCTCATCACCATCTGTGACATCTATAATAAAAATGGATGATGCCAAACACTTATCCTTGGAGAACATGGATGGATGTGTAATCAACTATGACTATATACTCCAAACCATTATTATGGTGTAGCATTCAGGAAGAACGCCTGGATTGATTGGTTGTACATACATGCTATTAGGACTGTACTACACAATTTAACTTTTTGTCCTAAAACAAAATGTACCTTCTTCCAGATGGCTTTGTAGATGTGGGAGGGGAGAGTTACGTGATGATGCATAAGGAGTGGATGGTGCAGGAGATGGGGATGGCAAGACAGTAGCTTCATACTCCTTCTGTAATTCACCAAGAACTTCAGGCTTAGCCGGTGGAGCTAAGAATGCTCCTGCATAAAGCCATTTGATGTTAAATGAAAAGCACTAAAGTGCAAACCCTTGGCGAACTCGGTACCACTAATTGATGGGGTGGGCTAAGCGTTTACTTGTTGTCTCCCGCTAGTAGCTCGTGGAGAGCTTGACACGGGCTAGCTACACTAGTAGATAGCATGCGGGAGTCGATACACGCCCTTCGTTGCAACTTTTTGTGCCTTCAAATACACAGAAGAGCGAGTGGACACGGTCGAGGTAAGCCTGTGCTAATCTGCATAATGGCTTTTTAACTTGGTTTTCACACGTACGAAAATCACCAAATTTAAAATCAAGCCAGTCTAGCTACATGAGATTATCTAGAGTGCCATTCACCAATGAAGTGCAAACACTGAGTGCACTAGAAACACACTGCAACATCTATATAATTGGCGAGTGATCGAGCTTACCTAGTCGTTTCAATGCGGGAAATATATATCTCACTAAGTAGGTACCGTAGTACCTATGTATGTAGGGATGAGCATATATAGTTTATAACAATCGGTTGGGTGCTGTAATGTTCTACGTGATTCAAAATACGTGCAAAACACGCCCTAAATATTCAACTGCTCGTGCTCGCTCGCCAAACAATGTGTTACATTCCTCTAGTGTATTATTTGAATGGGTTGGTACCGCGAACTGATAGGCTAGGCCATGTTGCTTTCCATGGTGGTCTTTTGCTAGTTTGCTGAGAGTCTGCCACAGGCTACCTACCTAAGTTAGTAGCAATCTGGACTTGATACTTGCCTTCTGTTGTAACTTTTGATGGCTTGCCATGTTGCGTGTGATGGCAGAAACCACGGTAACAGACAGGCGGAACAATGTAATGACACACTCATAAACTAAGTACTGTAACCATCGCTGTGCATGTGTGCTGAGGGTTAATAATTCCAGACAGTATATTCTTCCAAGTGGCTGCGACACAAAACTATATTTTTACTCTTTACTCACCTAGTTGAATCCCTTGAGCTACTGTACTGTTTTTTGTAGATACACTTGAGTGAGATTGTGAATACCCAGTTTGCTGAAAAAGAAAATAAAAGGTAGCTTATGAAGTGGTGAAACTAAATTGGTGAAACTTCACGGTTGGCCTCACACTCCGAAAGATTTTTCCCCCAAGAGTTCCCATAAGGAATTGACAAGAAAATTTCTTTGCACAAGAGAATAATAATGTTGCAACCCAACATTTGCTCTAGCAGAAATTGCCAGTTCTTTGAGCATAAATAACGTGAGTGCGTAACAACACAAAATAAGAACTACATAACATGGCAGACGGACAACACTTTAGGCAGCAGAGCTGCAGCTGTTATAAAAGGCTGATCTGTTTGTGCAGGCGAGCACCGGTGGCCAGGGTCACGCCACACTGTCAAACCCGGAGCAAGTTTTTCGCTCTAGCACAGGCTAGCTACATCAGTGGGTAGCATTGGACTGCAGTCTCATAATACCTGACTAAATGCATTGCTCCACGGCATACTGAACGGGCTTCAGCCTGGTTCAGTAGCCAGTGCTGATAATGCATATTCACTTGTTTCTCTGGTTTTCGCACCATATCTCTTAAATGCAGTCATTTCAGGAAAATTGCCTATTATTAACCCTCGGCGCGCATCTGCAGCGAGGGTTACGGTCTACTTTGTTTGTAAGTGTGTCTTCTGTCTGTTACCACGTTTTCTGCAAATACGTGCAACGAGATAAAACAGCGATACCAACGGGTTCATCGCTACGCCGGCTTCATTTCAAAAAAGGGGATTTTCGTATAACTACTGCGTTCAAAAGTTATGGCGTGAAAAGCAAACAAGCCAATATGCAAATTAGTACAGGCGACCGCGTCCGCTCGCTCTGTGTATCTTGAAGGCACAAGAAGTCACAACGAAGGGCATGTATCAATTCCCGCATGCTATCTACTACTGTAGCTAGCCTGTGCCAGACTCTCCGCGAGCTACTAGCGGGATACCATGAGTAGAGGCATAAAAAGCCCAGCCTATCAATTAGTGGTACCGCGCATACGCAGTTCGCAGAGGGTTTGCACTTTAGTGCTTTTCATTTTTTAGGCTTTTAAGCCATTTGTATCGCCGATAGGCAGCCTCATAGCCTGTAGTGCCACAATATGCAGCTGCAAACAAATAGATCGACACACACACACAGACCAAATACTTTAAAGTATTGTTGATTGTAGTGGAGGAATACGTAGCTACAACTCCCTAAAAAAGATGCATATGCAGCCCTGAATGGTGATGGATATGTACAGCTTATGGGGTCCGTATTGTCATCTACACTAATATGGCCAGAAAAGTTTCACACAATAATACATATTTGTGGTGAAAAAAAATTACATTGGCTAGTGGGATAACTTACAGTTGATCGTGTGAAATCTGAAAAGTGTTCGCTGAGATAGTCAGATTTCATTATCACACTGCGGATAAACCACTTCTTCAAAGCCAGTTTTACCTAAACATTTACATGTGAAACTAATGTGAGAAAATTTTCTTTCATATCATGTATATACAACTGATGTGATGTGAGAAATATTTCACAATATCTAACGGCAGACAATTAGTTGGAAGTGTAAGTGTGTATTACCTGCTTTGAAAGGATCACAAACATGATGAACATTATTGCACCCTGCATTGAAAAAATGATTCAACTATGTATGGTCTTAGTTTTAAACCCTTACCTGAAAGGCCACAACAACAGTAAAGATATATGACACAAACAGAAGTGCCTCATGAAATGTCATCACACCGATGATCCATGCAATCCCCATGACGACCAAGAGAGATACTGATACTTTGAGCCAGTGCCTGAAATGAACCAGTGTTAGTTGTTGGTTGGTTAGTCGTTGCTATCACAAAGACTTACTTTGCTTTCTGTATTTGACTTGTTGACAAATTCCTTCTTGTCTGTTGCTTCCAAATAATGTAAATGGCCATGAAAAAGAACCCAATATTTGCCTGGATGAGATGGCACACTATCAAAATTCAACGGCTTCAAAATGGTCACAATTATTGATCTTCACTTTATAGAACATAGTTTTATTATTGTATGCTGTATATACACATGGCCACATATTATTACACAGATAATTGCTTACTAGTATGATGAGGATTACAGGAGATATAAGAGCCCAAATAAAATGGGTGTCATACCTCAACCAGCATCTACAAAAGAAACATGAATTCTGTGCGTTTGATTTGGGCCTTATACATACATTTCCCCTCCATAATGTGGTCCACGTGAAAGTAAAAATCCAAGTGGTACTGCTAATGCCATGTATACTAGCGGTGCTCCTGGGAAGGAGATGGGTAACAAATAAACATGTGTGCCTATTGTAACTCTTTACTCACCATAGCTCACCACAGTGAAGCCGATAACATAACGGTGTGGCTTAGTAACGAAAACTCTTACAAGAGCTACATACAGAACTACACCCTCCATCAACATCCACATAAATGTAACAAGGAATGCGTAATGCAACACAACAGCGATTGTCTGGCAAGCAATCTGCAGCAAGAATAAAAGCAATAATGTTTGTTTCAAATAGACGCCAAGCTTGTGACATTCAGTGAAATATTATGTTGCAATACATACCTGATTTTGGGTTTTATCTACACCAACTACAAACAACAGTTGAGCAACGAAGAGGCTGATTGAAAGATTGACATGAATGTAGTTGCGCATACTCCACAATGACCTATTATAAAGATTATTCACACTGAACACATTCCACAACATTATTCTGCAACTTACTTGAAAGTGGTGAAGATAAAAACGATGATCAACAGACAAGTGAGAGATATTGAAGTTCCAACATAGCCGATTAATCTCATGTTATATGCATCCTGCTTATTAACCTGTAAAATGTAATAACAAAATGGTCACATGTACACTGACCACAGAGTACCAGGAAGGATTTTTTCAACATCTATTATGTTTTGCAAAGAAAACATGTACACACACATGTCAATCAATTCCACATTACAAATGTGCCCATGAAGACGTCTACTGGTCTGCATGCCGCACATGGGTAATCGCTCAGCAATGCCGCACCCCATAGTGGCAAATTGCATGACTTTTGTTTTATGCAGATTGACAGGGTGATGCTACACACACACATGATTCCACATATGCAGAGAAATTTATGCTACTCTACATGGCGCGTAAGTGTTAGAGGTGGCATTAACTTTCCACACAGTTTACTGTTATAAATGAAGAGAATTGGGCCACAGGCTGTAATGGCGGTGCCAAAAATATAACTCACTGAATTCTTAGGGCTAAGCATCACAGCGAAATGTGTTAGATGATTACAGCTGCAGATGGTCAAGGTAGAATTAGACTCATTACTAACAGTGCAGCCATCTTCAGACCAGCGGTTCCTGTGTATTACATAGCAAAGTATTTCTTGTTTTGGTTTATCATCCAGGCATGGAAAATCTTACGTTTTGAGATTATAAAAAACACATCTCGGTTCCTCAGAATCCTGCATAGTGTATACAACATTCACACTATGGATGTTTCCAAAACACTTACTGTCATTGGACGATGATGGAGTGATATGCGTACAAGTTCTGATGTATTATCAATGGGATCACAAGGATGATCTTCACACCAAAGAGCTGAAGAGAGCACCGACGAAACTAGTTCAGAATTGCTGTGTGCGAAGGGGATGCTCGGTACATCACTTCAATGTATTCGTACGTTTACATTCTCACCTGATATTATCAATAGAACCAGGAAGAAGACCACTTACATTGCGGAAGTAATATGACCCAACAGTCACTGTAACATTTACATGAGCATAAATAATAAGTGGCATCAAGTAAAGGTAATTGCAGGAATTATCAACTCATACAACCAAAATATAGCAACATAGACAAACACTCACACTAGTAGATTTGCATTAAGGCATGTAAGCTCAAAGCTGTACAGAACTCTTTAGTGTACATGTAAACTTTTAAGTCGTACTGTGAAAAGGTGTTTCATGTAAGCTAGTTAGGTGTGTACAGCACTGGTCAGCAGAGAAGTAAAGCATGGTAATTGTAATCAACAAGTAATTGAATGGTTACGGCACTTACAGACGACATAAAATTATGTATCTATTTATAAGCCTTATCACTTCATCGTACATTACTGTCACATGACAGATATGTGGCGTAAATGAGATCAGTGGCAATATGAAAAGCACTAAAGTGCAAACCCTCCGCAAAGCGCATGAGTGGTACTGCTAATTGTGGGCTGGACTATTAGTATGGGTTTACTCGTGGTCTCCCGCTAGTACCTCGTGCTAATTTGCACATTGGCTTGTTCACTTGCTTTTCACGCCATAACTTCCGAACGCAACATTTTTACTAAAATTGCCACTTTCAAAACAAAGCCAGTGTGGCACTGATCATGTTGGTATCACTTTTTGGCCGTCTTGTTGCATGTAACGACAGAAATCGTGGTGACATACAGACAGATGTAATGTATTGTTGGAAAATATTCGTACCAGAAAAATTATACTTCATGAGCACAGCTGCTTGTATCTCAATCATTTCATCTTCAGGGCCAGATATACCAGTGATAAAATCTTTCTCTACATCATTCATATTGAGCACTCCAATCTCTAAGATAGCAAAAAGCGCACATGTATTATATAGATGCATAGATATGCCAGGTCTTACTTGTATTATTGGATGAAATAGTGCCATGACTGGAATTAAACGATTGAAGCGCAAATTTGTCCAGTGTCTCTAACAGTGAAGTACCAGGTGCTGGTTTCGAATCAGTCATAATCCCCTCTTTCTCAGACACTTCTGGTGACTCATTGGTGACATCCAGTACTCTACTTACCACGTCTATAAGGGTCTAAAAGGATATTTGCAAACACGTATCATTACACGACTTATTGGGTATAATAATGTGATATGTGCTTGCAATGATATCTTATAGTCGTCAATATTTGACTTAGTACTATTTAGGGGGAGAGTTTCATAGGATGTCAAAACCTGAAAAAATGAAAAGCACTGAAGTGCAAATCCTCGGCACATTGTGACGCGCACGCGTAAGTAAACGCATGCGTACCACTAATTGATGGGCTGGGTTTAGTTTTAGTTGCTACTCGTGGTCTCTTGCCAGCTCGCGCAGAGTCTGACGCGGGCTAACTAAACTACTAGATAACATGCGAGAGGCGATACACGCCCTGCGTTGCATCTTCTGGTGCCTCCGAGGTACGCAGAGCACGCGGATCGATCAGACCCTGTCCGTTGTGTATTTGCATATTGGCTTTTTCGCGCTCTAGCGGAGCAGCTGCACAGAAAACCGTTTGAAATTTCTGACCTTCATTGCCCGTTAAGTAGGTTGTATCCTTTGGATGAACAAACATCCGAAAAGTGAGATTGAGAGTAACAGACACAGACACACACACACACACACACACACACAGACAGACCCAACTACCGTACCCTCGCTGCGCATGTGCGCCGAGGGTAATTAAATGGGCAATGTGTGCAATGTGCATTAGCAATGCCTGCCTACAAATTGTAAAACTTCACTATGAAAATATAAGCCTTTTCTTATAGTACGAGAAACCAACACAGAAAGCCATAAGTACCAGCGCTTGCATGCTTACACTACATATGGCCTACAGAGATAATGTCTAATGCTCACTACATCAAAAAGACTTCTTGAAAAACTTGTACACGGTCATAGCACAGTTAATTGTGATAATAGTGAAACGGAGTAATGTCAATTGTGTACAAACAGGACCTTACATTTGAGAACTTGTAGGAAGCAGTTTGTTCATTGTTAATCAGTGTATTCACTACATCATCCAACAATTCAATAACCTCTACCACGTTCACATTATCATCTTTCAGCAGTGTTAATATCTCATCAAATGACGGCTCACCTACAGAAAGTTTGGTTATAATATATAACGATATTATTATGCATGCAAAAAGAGAATACTTACTGAGTATGGTTCCGTTTGGATTCAATATTTCTACGGCAACAGGTGACACCACAAAAAAGGATAGCTCTTGATTCTTTGTGATTTTGAAACTGAGGCATGCGTGAGTAACACTTGGTTCCAGCTCTAGATGGCGGATAACCGTTGAAGAATGTGTGGCTGCATAAAATTACATTCAGTATCTCATAGTCATCATAATAATGCAGTTAAACAGTCCGGACAATGCACTGTCAATGCCTCTGTTATGCGCACACAGAGTTAAAAATTTTTTTACCCATTAACCGATTACTAGGATCGTTACACACTAAATATAAAAACTCGATAGCAAAAATTCATGTATTACGTAGCATTACTCAAAAAAGGAGTCCGGTGTTTTGACTATACACACTTGCTGGCCACAAACTCTGCTACAAATGAAAAGCACTGAAGTGCAAACCCTCGGCGCATTGTGACGCGCACGCGTGAGTAAACGCATGCGCTGTATCACTAATTGATGGGCTGGGTTTAGTTCTGCCCATCTCGCGCAGAGTCTGACGCGGGCTAACTATACACTACTAGACAGCATGCGAGAGGCGATACACGCCCTGCGTTGCATCTTCTAGTGCCTCCGAGGTCGCAGAGCACGCGGATCGATCAGACCGCGGTAAGCCATCCCGTCCGTTGCGTATTTGCATATTGGCTTTTTCGTGCTCTAGCTTTGCAACGGAGCATTTTCAGAGAAAACCGCCTTTATTTTCTGACCTTCGTCGCCCGTTGGGTAGATGGTATCGTTTCTGGGACGAACAGACGTTCGAGGAGTGAGATAGAGAGTAACAGACAAACAGACAGACAGACAGACCCAAGTACTGTAACCCTCGCTGCGCATGCGCGCCGAGGGTTAATGAAAAGCACTTGGAAGTGCATACGTAACCCTCACCACTGTTTATTATCGCGTTTGAACTGTCAGTTGTCTCAAGGGAAGAGAAGATCACTAGAGACTGTTCTCCCATTACAGCAATATTTCAACATAGTTTCTCCTTTCTTCATGCACGTCAAAGGACTTGACAGTACATAACCATCCCATTCATTAGCAGCTACATTTAGCAGCCAATGGCTATATACGCTACACTGTCTGTCCTTCCCTCAATGATTCCTTCACTGAAAATCTCTCACTCTTGCTCTTACTCAACTGTACCATCATTACAAGCAGACCAGTATAAGCTTAGAGATATCACTTTTACTCCATGGCCTGGCTACTAGCCTCCCATCTTCTCTTTACATACATACACACGCAAGGCGTGTAAGTACAACAGTCAGCCTTGATCTCCATTTAACGCACATTCACTTTGGCGACCATCCGTTTCACCAGCTTCCCTGGCCTTCTCCGTTCTAGAATCTTGCGCGCCTCCTACCCGATACTATATCCACGCTTCACGCTCAGAGCTGCGCGGTTACCGAGAAAAACGGTGGACAGACGGACAGACAGACAGACACAGACACAAGCACACACACACAAACACAGACCAATTACAATAACCATCGCCACGCATGCGCGCTGGCAAGGGTTAATCAGTAGGCAATATCTTTGAAAGTTCAATCAATATGGCTAATATCTGAAAACAGCCTTTAGTGCAAAGTGGCCACCTGCACAAACTACTAGATGAATGTGCAACATTGTTGGCATGAGGTACACAATGACACTGAGCATAGGCTGGCTACTGAGCTGCAAACAATAGTTTTAGCTCTACCTCCTGCACGTCATTAACTACACACTGCAACTACGCATGAGCTTAGAGGCATCTAGCTTCAGTTCCTGTCCACCGCATCGGATAGCTAAAGAGTGCCCATGAGCTCAACGTCGTGCGAGTCTTGTACACATTAAGTATATTTCACTTACTGCCATTCTCAAACTCCATGACAATGTCCGCAACAACTGAGAGATTAAAGGTTCTCTCAAGGGTGTTATTTGTTACAGCACAAATATCAACCAAACGGAAATCGTCAGTTTGGTCATGTGTTACTGTCTCCAGTGCAATAACAGCCACTGCAGTGAAAATCCAACACAACTATTTTAAATGGCAACACTCTTGCTGAAGCACACACTTACCATCGTCATCAGTAATATTAATTTTGACAGGTTTTTTGGACACATTCAGAGCAGTATCCGAAACTCCAAATTGTGATAGTGTCAGAGTTAGGGTTTCACTCCACTCAACAGCTTCATCATCCACGATATTGACCGTTACACACCCCTCCAAGTTTGATGGAGAGAGAATCAAAGTAGTTTTAACTTCAACAAAATCATCAACAGCTGCAAATTAAATTGGCGAATTAAAGTGATGCGCTATTGCTAGGTTTCATCGACCTTCATAATGCAAAAATGTTGATGGCAAAATTTTCATAGAACAGTAAACATGACCAGCTAATACTTCAGTCCCACAGAGAACACCAGTAAAAAGGACAGTAAGCACTGTTTGTGTAAAATTCCACATTACTACTCTACTCACTCTATTATGTATGAACTTTCACTTCCAGAGTGATGCAGAGAGTGGGGCTCATACATGTATAAATTATAATATATTCGTTGGTGTGCACTTTTCTGACTGTAGCACACCCAGCACACTGACAGCATTCAAAGATTCTTGAAGGTAGCAAGGGTTGTGAAATATGACGATGCTATATTAAGCAAAGGCTGCACACCAGAATGGTCGTAGACACACGTGTTTTTACCAGAGGTGATCCAGCTTCTAAAGATGTCCAAGCATCAAATGCTGTGTATCCAAATGTGAGAGTGTCAAGATAGTGCCTACTCACACACTAACGCGTTTGCTCAGATGTAACCACGCCTTCTCTCAGCTACAAGGTTGTATATACAGAAGAAGTGTGGTTTGTGGAAAGAGATGAGGGCCTTACTGCCTCATATCCCTGAGTTAAAGGCCACTGGAGTTTTCTCCATGAGCAACACTTGGACTCATCTGGGCTAAATCAATGCAACATACACTCCTTACCAAGCAAGTGAAGACTAAGATCCACCTCACAATAAACTCTTCCCCAGTCACTACGTAAAATACATCGGAGTGACCTACAAAGGTCTACACTCATCATGAGTGTTTACAACTCTGCAAAAGGCAACCATGGGCTCCTCTATCGAAACTCTACCAGGCTGACAACCTCTAATATAAGTTAGTTACTCCGTTCGAGGGAACTATGGGATTTCAATGAACCCGAGGGCATCCACGTTGTATATAGTGTCCCGAGCGCAGCGAGGGCAACTACGCAGATGGCCCGAGGGTTCATTGAAATCCCATATTTCCCGAGTATACGGAGTAACTAACATGTGTAGTGCAGAGCAGACAAATCCGCACACGCACAGCGTCAGTTTCCAGGTGACTGAAATTCGAATGAGCGTGAAGACGCGATCGATAAGAGACTCGAGCGAGGTTTTAGCCACCAGCGGCGAGCCAGAAACGGTAGGCGGAAGCTACAGCACTCGCTCGTCGTCTGCCACGCTTTGCAAAGCCCACTCTACGCGCACGTATCCGCGGGCATGATGTACCGCTAACATCCAGGCGCTTACGTATAGCTAGGCCCAGACTACTTGTCTCTTAAAGAAGAATTATTGTAGACGATAAAGCTACATGTTTCTGTAGATGATGTATGTGATGTCGTCATTTTCATGTGAAAATTTTACATGAAAAACAAGGTATACTACGGAGCGTCCCAGGTATACTACGGGAAATCAAGTACCTCGTGTGAACCAATCAGATTGCTCGATTTAAATCAGCTATGAACTAAAATTGGCTTTAGTCCTTCCCACACTCCACCACTGCAGTTGTGTTTGCAGTTTACCATGGTTTCCTCCAAACAAGAGGCAGTCCAATGGTTTGCAGCAAACTGCTCCAAGCCATGGTCAGAAAAATCACATTCTCTTGCTTTTTTCCTTTAATTAGCCTAATGTACACTCCTGTCGATAAAGGCAGATAGCCCAATTGCATAATCTGCTAGTCTATCATTATAGAAATAACCTCCTGGTCCAAGGCCTGCAAAGTCAGTACCACAGATATTCTAGAGAAGCTAATAGTACTAAGTACAGAGCAAAGATCTGGAGGTTGTGGATGAAAGCTGGAGATGGTTCGAATCCCTACATACTTCACCTGTGGCTGTTTCTCTGAGCGTGTTCAATTCCAGTGTAATGTTGGTCCCCAGCTGTCCCGTAACAACCCATACGCACACATCTACACTTCCTGCAGACTCATTTGTTGAGTAATAACTGCTCATGAAATCCACAAATACATCTGCAAGAATAGTGGGAAAAACAGTATCAGATCATGATTCCATGACAAAACCTTAAGTAAAACATACCGTCATCGTTCTCAATGAATAAAGTTGGATTGCTCTGAGGGAGATGAACAGCCCTCCTGTTTTCTCCGATCACAGAGAGAGACACTGTAAAGAACTCTTTATCTTCATAAAGTGTGTCATTCATTGTGGAGATTTGTACACACGCATTTGAAGTGGTTGAATTTAGACTTAGAAGCTTTTGTTCTCCATCAAAATCGATTCCATCTGTAATGAAACACGAATACAAATGCGACCTTGTTTATTCACAATGAGCACCTGAAGCAGTTCCACTGTGTGTACTTAATTGAAGTGTGAGGTCTTTTCCTAGCTTCCCTGGAGGAACTTCAACACAAACGTTAAACATGCCTCCTTCAGGAACTGCCTCATAGTTGCGTTTGAAGCCAACAGTGAGTTCTGTATAACCACCAAAAAATCGATGGACACACACACAATATAGGTAAAGTCATATATTTTCAGTCATACGAAGCATACATACACCCTGACAGCTCTTACCACACACACGTAAGTCAGTCGTGCTAGGCAATTATATGCCAAGAATTCATTGCGGCTGTGAGAGTGGGCTAGCAAGCATGGGCAGCGCAAAGCTCTAGGAGGCAGAAAAGCTAAAGAGGAAGCATTGAGTGAAAGAGGGACAAGAGCAGATTATGTTTGTATACACACAAGTTTTTGGATGGCATAAGCTAGATGGACCCACCATCATTATCAGTGATGAACACATTAGCACTTTGTGGCGAAATCTGTACTCTCTCTTGTACTTCAGCAAGAGAAACTGACATAGCTATCATCTCATTTTCTTCAAATGCTGTGTCATCAATGATATCAATAGAAACACACTGCTCGGGGGTGGTTGGAGATAATGTTAAATCCCTTGAGAGATTTATGTAATCTTTGTTCTCTGAAAGGGAAAATAGAGGGTGCAATTAATGAGACGACTTGGTAGCTCAGTCCAGTACAAACCAACACAGTTTGAATGGTTTAACTTCAAGTGCTATTAAAACTCACACAGACCTTCAGCAGTTCCAGTTTCACTCTCAAGATGTACTGTCAAATTAGTACCCAATTGCATTCCATCACGTACTGTGACACATATTTCCAACTGACGACCATCCTCCCTCACTGTATAATCCCTCTGATCAAATCCAACTGTTACCACTATGGAGAAGGTAACCAAATCATATGTACATACTTAGGGTCAGGGACAAATGTATGCTTACTGTCGTCATCGGTGATAATAATGGTTGCTGTTGGCTGGGTGACAATTACTCGGCTAAAAACATCCATTGGAGTCAGTAATACATTCAGTGTTTCACTGTCTTCAAAAGCCATGTCATTTATAATAGAAACAGCAGCCACGCAGAGAGGTGTCTCGAATGGTGGCTCAATGGTTAAGACTCTATTTTCTACGTCTTGAAAGTCACTATTTGCTGTAATACAAGAAAAGGCACATGTGTATGTACAATTTAGTGGGTCGGTAATAATAAAAATCAATAGCAACACACCAACACTAAGAATATTTACTGCATTTACCTTGTGCACTTAAACTCTCAACGGCCATTATGACACTGATGGGTGCTCCCAGCAACCCATGTTTCACTTCTATGCACACACTTATGGATGCATTTCGTTCACTGGCAGTATAGGCAGATTGCTCGAACCCAATGTACAAATCTATAAAGAAAGAGACACTCTAAAAGGAATTATTATAGTTAATAGTTATACATGTTTCAACTACGAGGTGTAGAAGGGTAAAGGCACAACAAACAACAAGCCAACTACACCCATATATAACATGTACAGATCAATACATGTGAATCTCACCATCATCATTCATAATCTTCACAGTGACACTCTTCTGGGTAAAATATACATTATATGTGTCCTGAACAAAGGATAGTGACATCATCAGAGTTTCATTTTGTTCAAGGGAATTGTCATCCACAACAACCAGCATCAAACAGTTCACAGATACAGACGAATTGAATGTAATTACTGTTGAGATGCCTCTGTAGTCCAAAACCTCTGCAGGAATATGGAAAAGAGCAGATTACATCTTCATACAAAGCTCCATGCAATGTGTATAACAGTATAATGCAGTATATGTGTCATATTATGCAGCACATGCTCCAAAGCAGAGTTTGCTAATTAAGTTACTCGTTAATCAAGAATAACACTTCTTGTAGCCTGCCACCTTATGGACAGAATGTGAGCAGCATATATATCCTGAAAACAGCGGCTGGCAGAGGAGTGGGCGAGCCCAACGAGTTTACTGGAGCTATGAATGCAAGTAGCACGCAAGAGAAAAAGTAGTGGGCGAGGTGTCACTATATATGTGTTTCCTACACACTTCCACTGCGTTAACACCAGGTTATTCATGCATCTAAAAATTGGGCATCTTTGGTCATGGTTAAATCAAGGAAAAATCCTTGTGCACTAGCACGTGAGTATATGGAAATCTAGTACACATGCGCAGGTCCATACCGCTAATCATGGGCTGTTCTGTGAGCCTAATGTAAGCTAGCCTGGCGTTTCAGGATACAATACTCACCCTGGGCCATGCTACCTACTTGTAGTTTTCTGTGAGACTGATGCAAGCTAGCTTAGCATTTTAGGTTTAGCAGGATACAGTACTCTTACTCTGTTGTACTTTTAATGCCTACAGTGTCCACAAAACTAGTAGCGGAATTTGGTTAAAGTAAGCCAGTGCTAAGTAACCCTCGGCACGTATGCGCAGCACCGGTTACACAGTACTTGTCTGTGTGTGTACGTGTTGACACTTATTTTGGCACTACAGGCTACGAGGCGGCCTATAAGTGATACCAATGGCGTCAGAACTACACAAGTCTGAAAAAATAAAAGGTGATTTTCCTGAATCTACTGCATTCGAGAGATGTACATGCTGTGAAAACAAGAGAAAAATCAAATATGCATACTCGCACTGGGCTTACATCGACCTGATCTGCTTGCTCTGTGTACCAGAGGCAGAAAAAGCCACAACAAAGGGTGTGTATCGACTCCCGCATGCTATTACGTAAGTATTTTATAGTGTAGCTACCCTGTGTCGGCTAGCGTGGAGAACCGCATACTTATAGCTAAGCCAATCAATTAGAGGTACCGCGCATGTGCAGTGCGCCGGGGGTTTGCACTTTAGTGTTTTTCATTAGCTAAGTGGTAGATGCACTTGCCATAAAGTATTATAAGCCAATGTAGTGCTGAACTACTTTGCTGTCTTGTTACGCACTGCGGTGTAGCAGAAACGGATTTAAGAGGGCGAAAGGGATGCGGGTCCATGTAAAGCACCGCTAATTGATGGAAGAAAAAGTTGCAATGTCAGGATTCGAACACTCTACCACAGCATCAGTAAACCGCAGCGCGATCTCATAGCACGGATCTATGTGAATATAGTGATATAGGAACATGTAGGGGACCAAATGAAAAGATGGAGGGACTAATGTCCTGTGGGCGTACACAGGTGGCAGCCCTGGATACCATTACATCAAATCAGTTTCTGTTGGTCAAAACCAACGCAACAAAATTTTCGCTATCAGTGTCACAAGAACCTTGCAGAAATGTGTGTAATTTGGTTACAAGGGAAGCACAAGTATGTACAAGTACAACAACCACTCACGATAAAATATATTTGCTTGTGCACTTCCACACTGTTGTCTTACTCTACAAAGTATGAACTATATCCATATATCAGCCTGCAACTAAAATTCCCGGGGGTATCCTTTAGCCCCACGTACTAGTGCCGGTCTATTTGCATAGTTTAATGGTTTGTGAAGTGAATGTGCATACAAACCTTGGGCAGATCCTGGAATCTGCACTGTACTAACTTCAAGAGAAAGCACAGCATTTTCATCCATGCGTCCTTGCTGTATTGTCACACACACAGTTACTGAGCTATCATTCTCTCTGACTGCATAGTAACTGTCATTAAACCCAACATGTAGCTCTGTGTGGAATGAAAATGGTAAGCGAATAGTGCAATATGCATGATTTAAAGGGACTGTGCCAGTATAAAAAGGCTCAATTTAGAAATGTTACTAACAAAACAACAGGGGCACAACATAATGAAAAAATGCAATTGAGTTCTGTTTTTCTAAATTTAGCCTGCCAACAGTGAGTTCTGTATGACTACCAAAAAATCGATGGACACACACAATATAGGCAAAGTCATAAATTTTCAGTCATACTAAGCTTACATCACTAATCATACATACACCCCAGCAGCTCTTACCACACACACATAAGTCAGTCGTGCTTGGCAATTATATGCCAAGAATTCATTGCGGCTGTGAGAGTGGGCTAGCAAGCATGGGCAGCGCAAAGCTCTAGGAGACAGAAAAGCTAAAGAGGAAGCATTGAGTGAAAGATGGACTAGAGCAGATTACGTTTGTATACACACAAGTTTTTGGATGGCATAAGCTAGATGGACCCACCATCGTTATCAGTGATGAACACATTAGCACTTTGTGGCAAAATCTGTACTCTCTCTTGTACTTCAGCAAGAGAAACTGACATAGCCATCATCTCATTTTCTTCAAATGCTGTGTCATCAATGATATCAATAGAAACACACTGCTCGGGGGTGGTTGGAGATAATGTTATATCCCTTGACAGCTTTATGTAATCTTTGTTCTCTGAAAGGGAAATAGAGGGTGCAATTAATGAGACGACTTGGTAGCTCAGTCCAGTACAAACCAACACAGTTGGAATGGTTTTGCCAAAACTTCAAGTGCTATTAAAACTCACACAGACCTTCAGCAGTTCCTGTTTCACTCTCAAGATGTACTGTCAAATTAGTACCCAATTGCATTCCATCACGTACTGTGACACACATTTCCAACTGACGACCATCCTCCCTCACTGTATAATCCCTCTGATCAAATCCAACTGTTACCACTATGGAGAAGGTAACCAAATCATATGTACATACTTAGGGTCAGGGACAAATGTATGCTTACTGTCGTCATCGGTGATAATAATGGTTGCTGTTGGCTGGGTGACAATTACTCGGCTAAAAACATCCATTGCAGTCAGTAATACATTCAGTGTTTCACTGTCTTCAAAAGCCATGTCATTTATAATAGAAACAGCAGCCACGCAGAGAGGTGTCTCGAATGGTGGCTCAATGGTTAAGACTCTATTTTCTACGTCTTGAAAGTCACTATTTGCTGTAATGCAAGAAAAGGCACATGTGTATGTTAGTAGTAGTACAATTTAGTGGGTCGGTAATAATAAAAATCAATAGCAACACACCAACACTAAGAATATTTACTGCATTTACCTTGTGCACCTAAACTCTCAACGGCCATTATGACACTGATGGGTGCTCCCAGTAACCCATCTTTCACTTCTATGCACACACTTATGGATGCATCTCGTTCACTGGCAGTATAGGCAGATTGCTCGAACCCAATGTACAAATCTATAAAGAAAGAGATACCCCAAAAGTTACACAATAGTGGCAAATGTCAAGAATATAATACGTGTACGTGATACGCACTTCTTTCAATGAAGCTAAAACATGTGATACATAGCTAATGGCATCGTATTTCCAACATAAAGGTAGAACATGTTCATCTAGTGCTAAAGCGGCATTGCACGCATACCTACAACCTTGTCAATAGAGGTATACAATTCCAACAAATGCACTGCTGGTGTTGTTCCCAAATCGTTGCTCTAAAATTGTTCTGGCATCTCAATGCTCAAGGCCACTCGCATGGTGTAGAAACACGACAGCATAAGATTTCATCTTCCAAATACATAGTGAAGGCTAAAACTGTTCTTGGGTGTGTGCTAGTGGTGGCTATATATATGGTGGAACCTCTCTTATAATGGACAATCGGAATATTGGAAACCTCTGACACTTGTTTCAATATAGTGCTAACACTTCAGTATAATTGTTATTCATCCTCAAAATAAAGGTCCACACTCTGTAATTGTTCAACGGTCACAGTATTTTGTCCTAGTCTTGTGAACCAGAATGTCCCGTGTAAAACGAAGTGCACAAACTCAGGTATAGGCTAATTATTTCTCGGGTGGTTTACTACGCGTTGTCACACACTATTACGCACACCATGGACGCGTTATTACGCGGCTAAGCGTAAACAAGCGTGGTCGCACCCTCAGTATTTACACTCTAGAGCGCGTCAGTACGCGGTTATGCGCGAACGAGCGTTTGCTGAAAAAAACATCGCGAAATACCGCGAGCGTAGAGTGTATTGTATGCAGGCGATTGCAGGTGGAGCACGCCGGCATGTGTTACTGGGCGCGAACGCTAAGACTGCGTAAATTGGTGTGACTTCCCGCTTGAGTGCGTAAAAGCGCGATATTTCGCAACCGTCACCTTCTGTGCGCGCTTTTACACACATTGTTTTACATGGTGTACTCTTGTTTTGTTATTCGCTTATAACACTCTGTCCTTACAATATGGCCCAGATGTAACTACATAATAGATCGCTCCGTGCCAGCACTTACGCGCTTAGACCTACCATAATTATTAACCCTCGGCGCGCATGCGCTAGAGGGTTATAGTACTTGGTTTATCATTCCGTCCGTCCGTCTGTCCGTCTGTCTGTTACCACGTTTTCTCCCGCTATGCGCAACAAGACGCCCAAAAAGCGATACCAACGGGTTCAGTGCCACACTGGCTTTATTTTAAAAATAGCGATTTCGGTAAAACTGCTGCGTTCGAAAGTTATGGCGTGAAAGCAAGTCAAGGAGCTAATATGCAAATTAGCACTGGCTTACCTCGACCGCGTCCACTTGCTCTGTGTATCTTAAAGGCACAAGAAATCACAACGAAGGGCATGTATCAACTCCCGCATGCAATCTACTACTGTAGCTAGCCCGTGCCAGACTCTCCGCGAGCTACTAGCGGGATACAACGAGTAAAGAAAAGCCCAGCCCATCAATTAGTGGTACCGCGCATGCGCAGTTCGCCGAGGGTTTGCACTTTAGTGCTTTTCATTATTCTGGTAATAGGATGGATCAATTGACATGCATAATAGTGTTGTGTCGGAGGAGTTAAGGTACGCATGCACAATGGAATGTCTATAGCATAGTTTTAGGAGGAAGTTGACGACACTGCGTCTTTATTAACCCTCGGCGCGCATGTGCAGCGAGGGTTACAGTAGTTGGGTCTGTGTGTGTCCGTTACTCTCAATCTCACTTCTCAAGTGTTTGTTCGTCTCACAAACGATATGACCTACCCAACAGCCAATGAAGGTGAGAAAGTATGTGCGGTTTTCTCTGAAAATGCTCCGTTGCAAAGCTAGAAGCCGAAAAAGCCAATATTCAAATACACAACGGACGGGATGGCTTACCGCGGTCTGATCGATCTGCATGCTACCTCGGAGGCACCAGAGAAGATGCAACGCAGGGCGTGTATCGCCTCTCGCATGCTGTCTAGTAGTGTAGTTATCCCGCGTCAGACTCTGCGCGAGCAGGCAAAGACCACGAGTAACAGCTAAAACTAAACCCAGCCAGCGGCTCCATGACTAAAATGTGTGCACAAAAAATTCAATACTGTGTCACGTAATGTTTAGGACAACATCTCTAAACAGTTACACAACCAATCACCTCCATTTTCTTCAGTAAAAAAACAAAGGCAATTACGACCCTCAACAGTCAGAGGTCACATATATTATACACATACAAACATATATTGATGGGTCTGCCTATCATTTTCGGTGAACATTTGCGATTAGTGATACAGCGCATGCGTTTACTCATGCGTGCGCATCACAATGTATGCATTCCTGTAAGCCACCCTCACTTTCAGCGATTGTGCCTACTTACTGGCACGCCCATGAACCCACTTCGAAGGTCAACAACCACAAGTTTCTATTGTAATTGAAAGAATTATGATCCTCGCTCAGCTATGCACATGCAAGTTTAAAAGGCAAAATGAAAGGCGGCATTGATTTACACCATCGATGCAATGAAGTGGGCAGTTGTTGCACAAATGTGAGCTAAGATATTTTAAAACTGCATTTAGTATAAAGTTAAGCTGCAGACAGTATAGTGATACAGAGAAGCTGTTGGTGAGGTGGCTGACTATTTACAGCGGGTTTGCAATTTTCAATGGGCTAGGTCATACCAATGTGCTGCTAGGAGGGTGAATATAGCAGTGTCCAAAAGGTCAAATGTACAACTGGAGAATATAATGCGTGTTACGCGCATCACATACTATTGGGAACAGTTCTATCGGGCCAAATGAGATGCAGCAAAATTACGGGCGGGAGATAAACCGGGGAGATATCTTGGCCATTACACGGAAAGTTTTATTGCCACGTGTATATAACAATGTGATGTGAACGACTATGGAGCACTACACTGTAAAGCACACATTGAGACTGTAGTCTACGAGCCAAGCAGTGGTCGTGGTAGATTGCTTCTGGCACTGGCCAGGAGTTCTGTGGGCTGTTCCAACCTGAACGTTCTTTGCGTCCCTTGTGACGGTTGGATGTGAGTAAGCGAGTGCCACGTGTGGGCTAGTATTGCCGCTATTTTTCCGTGATAAGAGCGACATGTGGTTCCGTGGTGTTGTTGGTTCATTCCCTAGTTTTTAGGCCCGGTGGAGCCTAGAAAGACCGACAATAAGCTAAGAAACGTACAGGCTACTAATTCCGGTAACCATGTTTTTCGCCAGCGGCTCCATGACTAAAATGTGTGCAAAAAAATTCAATACTGTGTCACGTAATGTTTAGGACAACATCTCTAAACAGTTACACAACCAATCACCTCCATTTTCTTCAGTAAAAAAAAACAAAGGCAATTACGACCCTCCACAGTCAGAGGTCACATATATTATACACATACAAACATATATTGCTGGGTCTGCCTATCATTTTGGGTGAACATTTGCTGATGATTTTGGAAGGCCCTCGTGGAAATTCCATTGACATTATAAACGTTTCTGCCTGTGTGGCTGTCACGCAAAAAAGCAGTTGGTTTACCTCTATAATTGTACAAAAGTAAAAGGCTAACCACCTAATTTATGTACACCTTTCCTGTCTTACAATCATCATCAATGACAGATATCGTGGCAGTGTCCGGGGATACTTCAACTTCATTGTGTAGTTCTCCGGTCAGGGTCAGCGAAAGAGTTAAGTTCTCAGTTTCCTCATACTTCATATCATCATTAAACATAATATCTCTGCACATCACATGTTCATCCATACTAAAAAATATTGTGCTCCTTGAATCCATGACACTGCCTGGACCTGTATATCATTAAGGAACACAGCGTAAATAAACTTGCTTCTCGCATGGAAACATAGCAGGATTTAGGGAGGCAGGACGAGAACTTCTTGTCATCCCTGCACGGATGCTCTAAGGATATATGTGGATATGCATTGTAGCAAAATTCCCTATTTCATTCAGAGAAAAATGTCCAGGCTAATTAATCATACACAGGACTCAACGCGAGCCTGAAAAAAACACACCATTTTATGGTTCTAAAATGACTGCGTTTGAGAGATATGCCGTGAAAGCCAATATGCATAATCGCACTGGGCTTACCTCGACCTGATCCGCTCACTCTGTGTATATACCTCGGAGGCAGAAAAAGGCAAACCACCAACGAACGGGATGTATCGACTCGCACATGCTATCTAGTAGTGTAGTGTCAGACTCTGCGAGCTATGACTAGCGGGACAACACAAGTAGACGCATACTCATAGCCCAGCCAATCAATGAGTATTGGATGGGTGGCCAGTGTCACAGTGCCTTTAAGAATCATGAATCATGTGCAGACAAATACCTGCAGTGTGGTTGTAGGTAGACAATGAAAGGTTTGGTGTTATTGAAAGAGATCCCTCCTTCACTTCAATGCATACGGTGACATTTGCAAGTCCTTCACTAGCGCTATACACAGGACTTACAAACCCAATCTTCAGAACTGAAAAAGAGAATAGAATAGAGAAATAGAGAATAGAATAGAGAGTGAACATCAGACAGAGAAAGTAGCATGGAGGTGTGAGGGAGAGGCAGACTTTTACTATGTACAATACTGTTTTTGTCATTCATACACATATTTCATACACACACAAGGTGGTCGGCGGTCTATGCAGTGGGTAACGGGGGCTGTACCAATACGTAACACGGCTACTTCCAACAATCCTTTATACATGTTTCAACTACGAGGTAGAAGGGTAAAGGCACAACAAACAAGTCAACTACACCCGTACATAATACATGTATATACAGCTCAATACATGTGAATCTCACCATCATCATTCATAATCTTCACAGTGACACTTTTCTGGGTAAAATTTACATTATATGTGTCATGAACAAAGGATAGTGACATCATCAGAGTTTCATTTTGTTCAAGGGAATTGTCATCCACAACAACCAGCGTCAAACAGTTCACAGATACAGACGAATTGAATGTAATTACTGTTGAGATGCCTCTGTAGTCCAAAACCTCTGCAGGAATATGGAAACGAGCACATTACATCTTCATACAAAGCTCCATGCAATGTGTATAATAGTATAATGCAGTATATGTGTCATATTATGCAGCACATGCTCCAAAGCAGAGTTTGCTAATTAAGTTACTCATTAACCATGAATAACACTTTTCTTGTAGCCTGCCACCTTATGGACTGAATGTGAGCAGCATATATCCTGAAAACAGCATGCAAGAGGAGATGCACATAAAGTGCAAACTACGGATGAAGCTAGTATGTACCATGCAGTAGTTTCCATTGCTATGCCTGACAAACTCGCGGCTGGCAGAGGAGTGGGCGAGCCCAACGAGTTTACTGGAGCTATGAATGCAAGTAGCACGCAAGAGAAAAAGTAGTGGGCGAGGTGTCACTATATATGTGTTTCCTACACACTTCCACTGTGTTAACACCAGGTTATTCATGCATCTAAAAATTGGGCATCTTTAGTCATGGTTAAATTAAAGGCACTCAAGGAAAAATCCTTGTGCACTCGCACGTGAGTATATGGAACTCTAGTACACATGCGCAGGTCCATACCGCTAATCATGGGCTGTTCTGTGAGCCTAATGTAAGCTAGCCTGGCGTTTCAGGATACGATACTCACCCTGGGCCATGCTACCTACTCGTAATTTTTCTGTGAGACTGATGCAAGCCATAGAGGGCATTCTTTAGCCCCACGTACTAGTGCCGGTCTATTTGCATAGATGTTGTTTAGTTTAATTGTTTGTGAAGTGAATGTGCATACAAACCTTGGGCAGATCCTGGAATCTGCACTGTACTAACTTCAAGAGAAAGCACAGCATTTTCATCCATGTGTCCTTGCTGTATTGTCACACACACAGTTACTGAGCTATCATTCTCTCTGACTGCATAGTAACTGTCATTAAACCCAACATGTAGCTCTGTGTGGAATGAAAATGGTAAGCGAATAATGCAATATGCCTATGCAGGATTTAAAGGGACTGTGCCAGTATACAAAGGCTAATTTAGAAAGGCTACTAACAAAATAATAGGGGCAAAATGAAAGAATGCAATTGAGTTCTGTTTTTAGTAACATTTCTAAATTTAACCCTTATCATTTACCCTTTAAGGTTATTGTATCCCTGAGCAAAAGCCAATACCCGTAACATGAGAAAAGCACACCCTCGGCAAACTGCGCATGAGTGGTACCACTAATTGATGGACTGGACTATTAGTGTGCGTTTACTCGTGGTCTCTCGCTAGTAGCTCGTGGAGAGTCTGACACCGGTCTGCTACACTAGTAGATAGCATGCCGGAGTCGATGCACGCCCTTCGTTGTGACTTCTTGTGCCTCCAAGGTACGCAGAGCAAGCGAACCCGGTCGAGGTAAGCCTGTGCTAATTAGCATATTGGCTTGTTCACTTGATTTTCATGGCACAACTGTAGAATTTTTAAATCAAAAATGAAGCCAGTGTAGCACTGAATGCATTACTATTGCTCTTTGGCCGATCTCTTGCATGTGGTGGCAATAAACGTGGTAACAGACAGACAGACAGACAGACAGACAGACAGACAGACAGACACACTCACGGACGAAGTACTGTAACCCTCGCTGTGCATGCTTGCGGAGAGTTAACAATTGCCTTATCAGGCACACTTGTAAGCCGGTCCAGACATCTTGCTAACCCAAAACCATTACAAAAATGCTAGATGATGCATGGTTATCTTTTAGTATAGGCGTACATTCCATCAGTACTTATTGTGACATGTGTAGGCAGATCCCCATACCATATTCCAGAAGTGTACCGTATGACCATTAATGAACGTTGCAATAACAGAATTATTGAAGTTGCGGCAGTTATCGGTATTCGGTAGGAGCAAGAAGCTCCAAAAGAACCAAGTATGCAATAGTTAATGTACTTGCAGAAGCAGAAAGTCCAGCATTTTGCTAGTTTCAACTCTAGGCTTTCCTCCAGGCCGGCTGCTTAAAAAGTAATATTGTCTGACCTGTGTTAGACCAGTTCATACTCCACTACAGAACCTGTCAGCTATGGTAATGTGGTGCTGATTATGAGGAAAAATTCTATAAGGCGTTTACCCCTTGTCTCCCACTGGTAGCTCACCGAGAGTCTGAAGGGGGTTAGCTACAGTAGTAGATAGCATGCGTGAGTCGATACACACCCTTCGTTGTGACTTCTTGTGCCTTCAAGATACACAGAGCGAGCGGACCCGGTCGAGGTAAGCCTGTGCTAATTAGCATATTGGCTTGTTGACTTGATTTTCGTGCCATAACTCTCGAATGCAGCACTTTTACGAAAATAATTAAGCCAGTGTAGTGCTGAACTCATTGGTGTCGCAATTCGGCCAGTCTGTTGCAGCAAACATGGTAACAGACAGACAGACGGACGGACGGACCGAAGGAATAACAAACCAAGTACTGTAACCCTCGCTGTGCATGCACGTCGAGGGTTAACTAGTGACCTTGGTACCCATAACTTTTACCTTGCGTACTCAAGCAATTTAAGTGTACACAACAAAAAGCTAACCCATGGAGTACTCCAGCTGTATCACCACCAACAGAATGAGTGATGCTGTAATGAAAAGCACTGAAGTGCAAACCCTCGGCGCACTGTGACGCGCGCGCGTAAGTAAACACACGCACCGTACCACTAATTGATGGGCTGGGTTTAGTTTTAGCTGTCACTCGTGGTCTCTTGCCAGCTCGCGCAGAGTCTGATGCGGGCTAACTACATTACTAGATAGCATGCGAGAGGCAATACACGCCCTGCGTTGCATCTTCTGGTGCCTCTGAGGTACGCAGAGCACGCGGATCGATCATGCCGTAGTAAGCCGTTGTGTATTTGCATATTGGCTCTTTCCCGTTCTAGCTTTGCAACGGAGCGTTTTCAGAGAAAACCGTTCGAAATTTCTGACCTTCATTGCCCGTTCAGTAGGTGGTATCCTTTGTGAGACGAACGAACACTCGAGAAGTGAGATGACGAGTAACAGACAGACACACACACACAGACCCAAGTACCGTAACCCTCGCTGCGCATGCGTGCCGAGGGTTAATGAGTATATAATTATACCAACGGCAGTCAACATATGCCTAAGCATTGCTGTAGCATGCGCTCTACCTTTCTGGTGTTCATAGCTCTGAAAAGTCTCAATCAAACATCACGTGTGTCTTCTCGTGAAATTTATGGGTGGTGGTCTTGAGACCCATACAGCAAGAGGCACATCCAAGTGACTTATGTAAGTCTCTTAACCACACCTTTTTGCTGTATTACACGAGGTTACATAGAAATTGACAGAGAGAATATGATCTCAGCAACCACATGCTGCCTCTCATCTAACTTCTTGAAATAAATTTTACAAGTACGAATATATTTACCATTCAAATCCCTTATGAATACTGTGCGGACAAAATTCTGCCCTCCGGCTGTAACAAAGAGTTGGAAGTCTTCACATCCCTCCCAAACATCATCAACCAAAGCAGTAACCCGGAGTAGGTCTCCTGACGTTTTACGTACTCTCCTGGTGTAAAAATCAACATCTAAAAAGATAGAACAAAAAGGAAATTATAATGCACTGGAATAGCAAAAGTATCACTATGAACCAACGGTAGTACTTAATTATAGGGATGGGCATGGTACCTAGCATCATAGATGTAAGGGGCTATGATAAGCAGTTTTGTTCATCTTCTTCTCCTTCAGATTCAACATCCATAACTCAAAAACGAAACAACAGACAGTAATGAAATATGTAAGAATGTAGCCGTCACCCGAAGAGATGGGTCATACTTATTTGTTTGTAAACAACAAGAGGAAATAATGGGATCATTATAAGTTACAATTGGTAAGAGCTGTGAACGAAACTTTGTATCATCAAGTACGGCAGTACGACACAGGTTATCCTGTATTATGCCCATACATTTGAGATTTGTACATTCCACTTTCAGTTTCAATCAGACCCCACTTCTGTCATATCAGTCTGATCCGTATGGCATGTAACCGGCTTAAATCGCATAATCAGTAAGTGATTCACTAAAGAGTTCAAAATTCTTGTTGTCGTCGTTGTTGTTCAGTTAGACAAGTGTAAAATAAAAAAACAGCCCTCCGGCCGGCACTCTAAACTCATGCATGACATTTATTAATTTTTATAGGCGCTTGTCCCCTTTCACAGATACAAATATATAAATATGAGTGGAAACAAGTAAATTAAAAATCCTGTGAATTTATAAAAAGAGGAATGTAGGGATGGTATAAAAAGAAAGGGAGACAAGATAGGGATGGGATACATGAAGCAAGGTTAATGAACAGATTTGAGCACGCTGACACCCCAACCCCATCATACAATCCCTATATTGTTGCCTAGGAGAAGTATTAAACATTCAGCATGTCAGGACTTACAGCTTGAAAAAGTCGTGCCACTGATTAACAAACACCGTTACCATAACAATGTGTGGCTTGAAAGTCATGCTACTGAGCAACCAAGAGTCCAAATGGAGTTTACCAGTGGCACACCGTCGGGGTGTCAGCGTGCTCAAATCTGTTCGTTAACCATGCTTCATGTATCTCATCCCTATCTTGTCACCCCTTCTTTTTTTACCATCCCTATATGCCTCTATTTTTAATTCGCAAATTTACTTGTACAACTTGGTGCAAACATGCTTAGCTAAATGGGTCTGCAGTCAGGTAGAACAGGCTCTTCCACGTTAATATTTAGTGATATCCTCGTACCTTCAGGCGAGAGAGCCTGGTACACACAGTTTGAATTCTGTAGTGTGTTCTGATTAGGCAGGTCGAGAGATACTGTACCTGAAATGCGCAAACAGCACGTCGAAGAAAAACTTGCCGTTGAAGGACACCCTCAGAGGAGAAAGTATACGCCTCATAAGAACTGAATCGACGTGTCCACAAGCTGTACGTATACTGGACACGCTCACAATTTCTATGATGTGTATTAGGTGCATGGGGGTACAGTGTGTACCAGGCTGTATCTCTTGCAGAAGACTTGGGAACTAGGCTGGGCCTGTGGCTCACGAGTGTTGGCAATGTTTAAATACTGTCAACTCACAATCTTTCACACGACACTTTACCACAGAAAACCTGCTCTGTATATACGGAGTGTTGCTGCAGGGTTAGACCACAGGCATATATACACCCGGACTCCACCCTGTCCACACCCCACTAGACCCGACCGCCTCGGAAGCCGCTCTAAGGGGGCACCCGACAGGCATTTATATGATTCCTTTTACGGGACATGAGAGAGGGGTTTAAGTTTTCGACACACAGTCCCGCTGCTTTTAGCCCCCAGAAAAAGCTTACAACACTTAAATATAAGTTATGTACCACGTGTGAGGGACATACCGGTTTTAAATGAACCCCGAGGGCCTCCGTATTTGTAGTGTCCCAAGCGCAGCGAGGGCACTACGCGGATGGCTTGAGGGTTCATTGAAATCCGGTATATCCCGAGTATACGGAGTACATAACATGTTTAGTGCAAAGCAAATCAGCTCCATATACGCGCACTGCCGTGTTTTCAAGCACAGGGAATTTGAAAGATGCGAGAAAGAGACGAGATCGCAAGATCGTCACCTCGTGCGGGACTATTGAATGCCGAACGCTAGGATACGCTACTCCGCCGCTCTAGCTACGCCCGCTGCGGAACTGTCCTCCGCCCCTCATCCGAAGAAACGTGACAGGAGACCTGCACGAATCATCCTCAGAGAGAGGTGAGAGTGGAGAATCCAGGCGCTGTGAGGGCTGCTACACCAAAGATGTTCACAGTAGATTTAGTAGCTTTGTCACACGCACTTGCTCGCGTAGCCCCACCCCCTCATTTGCGTGCAGTGGTTTGTGGGCGGACGTGAGCTGCCTGGCTACCTACCTACGTACATTGCAAGGAGGGAGATGGACTCAGCAAATGAAGCGATCAACTGAGACTTGTGCTTGATGTCGTACACGTCCATTAAACAAGTGGCTATAAAAGGGAGCTCTGCTTGCTAAGATAGACGAAGAATCAGCGTACCACCCCGTGCCAATTCACAGCCACACACCAACAGTACATGTATGTATCAGTTTTACCCTGATGTGTTCATAATTATATGATCCCACTATTTGAAAATACATCAACATCGATACGCCGTCAAATGGGAAGGTATGGTAGTATCGACCTGATGCTACCTACAATTTGGGCTCAGTATTATTCACCATAATATTATATTCAACACAGTGGCGGATTGTATGCCCTGGAGTGGTGCATACAGCAGCAAAGTGTTTACAATTAATTGTCAATGGTGCCCTAGACTGTGTGCTGGCCACAGTCAACTAGACATGAGCTGAATTATGTGAATACCACAAACGTGATGGCCCAACAACCTGTCGAGCATACTTAGGCATCAGAGGTGGATACTAAAGCCTCCCAACTGCGTCTGCCATGGGACGAACTGCATCGTAAAATCCTTCCCAGCCAAATGAGGTGACAGTAAAGTCTGCAGATGGTGGGAACTTAAATCCCTCGTCGAGACCATAAACAATGCATGCAAAGTGGTTCATTCTGACCATTCTCTCTTAGACGGATGCTGAAGGTGTGTATCGGCCTCGAAGTTGCCTGGTCACACCTCACATGTACATGTGGTGTTGGCAATAGCTAGAAACGCCAAAGTTGCAGCAACAGGTACATACTTTGCATGGACAGTGATATTTAACCCTCGGCACGCATGCGCAGAGAGGGTTACTTGGTCCGTACGTGTGCCTGTCTGCCACCATGCGCAACGAGACAACGAAAGAGTGATACCAAAAGGCTCAGTGCTACACCGGCTTGATTTTAAATTTGGTGATTTTCGTAAAAGCAATGTGTTCGAGAGTTACGGCGTGAAAACCAAGCTATTGCTATTTAATATTGGCTCACCTCCACTGGATTTTGTTGCTGTTTCTGCACTGCGTAGGCATGCCATCAATGGAAGACGAGTGTAGAGTGCAGCGAAACCAAAACGCTAGTTTAGCTAGTGAATGACCGTCAAAAAGGAAAGCGCAATGTATGGCCAGAAAGGAAGCGATGAAACATCGAAGAACTTTAACTGAACAAGAGAAATTTGCGAGAACAGAGCAAGACAGATGATCAAATTTCAAACTGGAGAAAAGTGATAGACTGCATAAAGAAACCACAAGAGCCTATGAAACAATTGAGCAGACGTTGCATACGCAAAAACAGGACAGACTGCATAAAAAGCCTCAGAAACGCATGAACAAACTGTGAACAGGCTAGAGTGAAATAAACACCGGACAAAAGTTCACAAAGTAGAGAAACCATTAAATAATGCATTATAAGTAGGCGAAAGAGACGTTTGTCTGTTGAAAGAAACTCTACTGCAACTCTATTGTTGTATGATTTGTCTGATTTCCGTGTCATGGTTGTGCTGTGTACCTGTGATTTGATGAGATGAAGTTTAATAGAAGAGTATGATGCTGGTTTCTGTCGTTCTTCGATTTTCATGTTCCCAGGCTTTAGGACATGTTCACTGTTTATTCTCATTAACCCTCGGCGCGCATGCGCAGTGAGGGTTACTGTAGTTGGGTTTGTCTGTGTGTCTGTTACTCTCAATCTCACTTCTCGAGTGTTTGTTCACCTCACAAAGGACACGATCTACTTAACGGGCAATGAAGGTCAGAAAATATGTGGGGTTTTCTCTGAAAATGTTCCGTTGCAGAGCTACAGCGCGAAAAAGCCAATATGCAAATACACAACGGACAGGATGCCTTACCACGGTCTGATCGATCCGCGTGCTCTGCGTACCTCGGAGGCACCAGAAAATGCAACGCATGGCGTGTATCGCCTCTCGCATGCTATCTAGTAGTGTAGTTAGCCCGCGTCAGACTCTGCGCGAGCGGGGAAGAGACCACGAGTGACAGCTAAAACTAAACCCAGCCCATCAATTAGCGGTACGGCGCATGCGTTTACTTACGCGTGCGCGTCACAGTGCGCCGAGGGTTTGCACTTAAGTGCTTTTCATTTGATGCATGCTTTACAAAGCCAGTCTGGGTCTTCTAAATTGTAGGTTAGATGTGGAGCCGAGGTGACTACGCGTGGTAGAGTGCTGAGGGCTCCCGAGCTGTCGGTGTCCCGAAACAGTTTGAATGGATCTAAACCGGATAGACACGTCGCCACGGTAACTACGCGTGGTAGAGTGCCTTGGGCTCCCTAGTTAGCACCCCTGTCCCATCACACAATCCCTATATTGTTGCCTGGTGTGCTACTCTTATAGGGAATAAAAGGGTTTTAAAGGTTACTAAAAGCAAGCATTCTCCCCCCCCCCCCGTTATTCTTATTAACATTTCTACTTTTATACTGCCACAGTCCCTTTAATTAAACTCCACTTGGACTCTATAACGGTGTTGGTTATTCAGTAGCATGACTCTTTAACCCTCGGCGCGCATGCGCAGCGAGGGTTACAGTACTTGTTCTGTCCGTCTGTCTGTCTGTCTGTCCGTCCGTCCACGTTTTCTGCCGCCACGCGCGACAAACAGGTAAAATAGCGACACCAACGGGTTCAGTGCTAAACCCGCTTCATTTAAAAAATGCAAAATTTTTGTAAAAGTGCCGCATTCAGAAGTTATGGCATGAAAACCAAGTGAACAAGCCAATATGCAAATTAGCACAGGCTTACCTCGACCGGGTCCGCTTGCTCTGTGTCCCTTGGAGGCACAAGAAGTCACAACGAAGGGCCTTTATCGACTCCCGCATGCTATCTACTACTGTAGCTAGCCCGTGTCAGACTCTTCGCGAGCTACTCCGCGAGTAAACGCATACTACAAATAGCCCAGCCCATCAATTAGCGGTACCGCGTATGCGCAGTTCGCCGAGGCTTTGCACTTTAGTGCTTTTCATTTGTATTATAAGTTCTAATGGTAAATGTTTAATACTTCACCTAGGCAACAATATAGGGATTGTGTGATGGGGTTGGGGGTGTCAGCGTATTCAAATCTGTTCATTAACCATGCTTCATGTATCCCATCCCCATCTTGTCTCCCATTCTTTTTATATCATCCCTATATTATGCCTCTTTTTTAATTTACTTGTATATACTGAGTTTACAAATGTCGTTATCCAAATTTGTGGGACACTGATATTGGAAATGGATTAACATACCTCCAAGTGCTGTTCCAGAAATATCTACCCATGCATCTATTAGGCTGCTCAATCTTAGAGTATCCACTTTCTGGCCCTCATAAAGGGTATCAGACTCCATGATTAATTTCACCACTAGAGAGACAGAAATAACATAAACAGACAAACAAGCTGTAATAGTTAAAGTAGACCATTATCTTGCACAAAGCTGCATGAACATGTCACCATTTCTGAGAGGTCGTTGCCACTCTTACTGTCCTATATATGTATGTGACTCAAAATAAGCGCATAATAGTTGCTGCGCTCTCACATTTGCCGCTAAAAGTGCCTTGCATTCGTATCAGTGTACAAGTGTACCTATGTTAAGGTACGCACCATCATTATCAAATATTGATATGGTAGTTGTGCTTCGAGAGAGTAATGCAGCACTGTGTTGTGGTCCAGTAAGACTAAGTGACACTGTGAAATTTTCCATGTTCTCAGAAATGGAGTCGTCTGTAATGGCTATTGACACACATGACCTGCGCATGGTGTTGGTCAGTGTCACAGTGGTGGTCAATGACGTAAAATCAGTAGCGTCTAAAGAAATAAGGAGTTCATATAAGTGAGATAATAAGCCTCACAATTTGCACTATAGTTATTACAAGTCAACTATAGCAGCAAAAGTATACCATACTAAAATCAGTGGCACAGAGATAATGAGACTCACTTGCTGTTCCTTGCTGAGTCGTGACAAGTAATTGAATATCATCCAACAATACTCCACTTAGGACTCCAATAACGCACAATTCTGCCGTTTCATGTTCACTGACATTATACATGGCCCGCTCAAACCCCAGAGATGCTGTAACAGATTTACAAATTAATTTCGTTAAATGGTATAGAAGCACATCTTCATGTTTGACGTTTGACACAAAATGCATCGGGTATTGAAATATGGGGTTGTACTGTCTCACTGTCAAAACATGCGTTGTCACGTCCAGGAACTTGAGGGAATTGGCACTGGCATTGCATCCCAGTTCCAACACTACACACCTCATCACCAATAGTACTAGTTCTACATTCTTCGCTCAACTCACAACCTGTGGGGTTACAGAGAAGTGTCACTATGATAATATATACATGTTTTTTTTGCAGAAGCAGTACCTGCAAAAGTGCGACTTGAGCAGTTGGAATTCCACCATGTTGGTGTGAGAAGCACACCTCTTTGAGAAAAGCCATCCACCTCTAATATTCTACTGAAATACAAAGTACCTGGCTGAGATGAACCTTGCTGCTCACATGCTAGAGGAGTCCAAATGGAACCGTCTAAATTCGATCCATTGCCTTCACGAAAATGGTATTTTGTCAATAATGCAGAGCAGTGGAGACCACCTTCATCGTAAGTTATGGACACATCTCCAAGGCTCCAGGTTTCTTGGCCCTCTATTGCAGAGCTGTTATAACGCTGCAACCACCTGTACTCGGTGCCTGCAGTGTAGTATTCAGTTCCACAGAAGTATTCTGACACAGTGAAAGGTTCAGTCACTTGAGTTATGAGGACAGGAAAATGTGAGTTGTTCTCGTCTGCAACACGTGTACCACCAGGGAGACCAGTTATAAGACTATTGTCTCTTGACTCCAATGTGGCAGTGTAGAAACGAACAGGTTCCCAGTTGTGTCCAGGTCTACGCACCTCTAGCCGCACTCCTTGGTCCAGGTAAGAAGGTGAGTCACATCCTTCTGCCACCGAATTTAGACGAAGCTTAAAGCTCAGCTTCCTATGTATATTACACATTTGCACTTTACAACTGTAACTAGCCTTACTGTTTGTAATTGTTATGGGGTTCACATTCATTAACCCTTGGCATGGATGCGCAATGAGGGTTACGGTACTTGGTCTGTGTGTGTGTCTGTACCTATTCTCGCACTACAGGCTATGAGGCGGCCTATGAGCGATACCATTGCCTTCAGAACTACGTGAACCTGAAAAATAAAATAACTGAAATGACTACCGAGAGATATACTGTGAAAACAAGCGAAAAGCTAATATGCATAATCGCACTGGCTTACTTCGACCTGATCCGCTTGCTCTGTGTACCTTGGAAGCAGAAGAAGTCACAATGTATTGACTCACGCATGCTATTTACTAGTGTAGACTTATCAGACTCACTGCGAGCTACTAGCGGGAGATCACGAGTAAACAGCTACTCATAGCCATCAATTATAAAGCAGTACCGCGCATGCGTAGTGCGCCGAGGGTTTGCACTTTAGTGCTTTTCATTGGAGGTCAGTGACTCAGTGATTATACAGTCTCTGCTACTGACACATGCACACAGATGAACACGCACACACGCACACACAGCACATACACTATTACTGCTATCGTCACGGCACATGCATAAATGAGGGTTTTGTTTATGATAATACCCACTTGAGTTACGCAAACAATGACCATAGGAACTGCATTAACGAGATATGAGTCATAATGTTCAGGGTATGGAAGAGTAAGATGTACTCTTAACCCTCGATGTGCATGTTTTGCAATGGATTATATGTAGTACGTACTTGTTTCACGTCATTTACGACTCTGGCACAGTGTATTAGTGTATAAGCAATGTAGAGCTAAAGGAGAACAAGCAAAATACTGGTTCCCTCTATCATCGAGTAGTCTGTTCACGCACTGGGGAGGGATGAAGCTACTCTGGGAAGGGATGAAGCTACTCAGAGGATGTGTGTGTGTATCCAGTCCAGTTTTGCTCTGTGTATGTGCTACCCCCTGATGCGGCTAGAGCAAGAAACTAGATCTGTTGAGGGACTAGACCGCATGGTGTGGCCTGGACCATCTATTACAATGGTTTATGTGCTTGCGTATTGTGCACACAAACTGTAACACGCACACGTTCCTTTCGCGTTTGAGGGTTTGCACATTTAGAACAGGGAAATCAGATTGGGACTGGTTGGAACACATCTACAGTCAGAAGAGAGCAAGTAAAGACAAATGGTCTCCTGTATATACTTCAACGTGAGATAGGCCAAAAGTGACTCCAATCAAGCCAACAGTAGACAATAGCTGCTTTGTGGTTTCGGTCAGTGTATGATTAGGCTGTAAGTTTAGACATGCGAACTTGTATAGGTAAAAAACCTTTCCGAAATGGAAGTGCTAATAAATGAGTCGGAAAGAAACCCTTCATCAAACCTCAAACCTCGAAAATCAGATAGATATCCGCATATGCGAACAAGGAAAGAAGAAGGCATGAATTTGCATATGAGAGACGACACAATTTAAGAATCTTTAAAGACCCATACCTAATTTGTACTGTTTCTTGTACTGAATCTTGTACTGATTCCTACCCCCACACAGTTGTACACATAAGAACAGGAAATGCAGTACACATGCAGTACAGGCAGCCTAGGATGTAAAGGTGTTGTCAAACACGAAGAGTATTAAATTTAGGGACAAATGCCCCTATTCAGGTAGACCTGTATGTCATTCGCAGGATTGTATAGCCAGCCTAAAGGTGATTCTAAACACTGCATCATCATACAAAATGATACTGCTGTACAGGTAAGATACTGTAGTTCCATAGTTTATGTAAATGTCACATAGAGAAGAAAAGTGGCGCAGTCGGTGTATGAAACGTGAGTTTTCAAAACACAGGCTTTGGGTCATGCATGCAGGTCACGTATATGCTTTACCGATTGAAAAAAATTACAGTGACGACCACACATCATGCATATTATCTATATCACGCCAAAACTCACGTAAATGCGGAAGGCGTGCAACACCGTCTTCCAGAAGATATCTGATCTAGACACTCCTGCTGAGATTTGGCGACCACCCCCAAACACACCAAGAGCAGACAAAAAACACAGGGCCTCCGTCCTAGCATCCCTGATCGCACAATCAACACCACGCGGCCGGTCGTTCTGACTTTATGAGTCTAGTCCCCGGCGGCCTGCTTATTTTAACTGCGCGCCAACGCCAGAGACACGCGCGCTTATCTAAGCGCTTTGTGCTTCTCTTTCTGTCCCGTCGCTGACCTTGCTGAACGTGTGTGTGTACGTGTGTTGATCAACCGGTGAGGAGAAGTTCGTAATGGTAAGTGAATGTATTGGTAAACCTGACTTTTGTGATCTGTAAGTGTGCATGTGAATTGCATTATCTAAATAGAGCCCATCCATTATGTGCAGGGTCAAAAGCAATCGGGCCTCCCCCCAGGAGCGGGTAGGGATGGGAACAAGAAGAAACAAGAGGTGTGTTTAAAATAAATCTGTTCCTGTCCTGCATCTATGCATTCCTGATTGCAAAACCATAGTAATGAGCAAAACAAAGGGTGCCTTTAGAGCAAATGAGGTGCCGCCACATTCTCTACAGGAAGGGTGCTACACATGTAGAATTGATGGCAGTCTGGGCATCACCTCGCTGTATATGTACTGGCACTTCATAATAGTGGTCCTTAGTACTTCATAGTCCTGGGCAAGAGAGGTGCATTATGGGTAGTCGTATGTACACAGAATGCCTTGACACTAATAGCTATATACCAGCATAATAGCAAACATGTTCTAACTTAGACGTCATGACATTTATCACCATGCTTTTACAGAGGTATATACAGTATGACATCACATTTTGTGTACATTCTTTGAACATATAGCCCGTTTCCTGGGGAACATAATACATAATGTGCACATATTTATAGCACAGTAGGTAACAGGTACACTTTAGTTGTCCTGTATTGTACATCCTGTGCTTAATGATACGTATATATTTCCCATTAGTACACAGTATAGGTCATAGCTAATGAGTTGACTGTGCTAGTATCTGGCAAGGGTCCTGGCCAAATAGTAGTCAAGGGGCAATAATGCGATCACGTACAGTAGTGTCACACCCAATGTGTTCTATTGTAATGGACATGTTGTGCCTCAGTAACACATGAATGACATGGATCACCATGCACATCATACAGTCTGTGGGCACAAAACCTATGGTTCTCGTTGAGTATGAAACCAATTTTAACTCTTTGGATCGCTGTTCATTCCTAAAGTCGTTATGCCTCATAAGAACAGTGTGATAGCTATTTTCATATTTCCATGCTCTGACTGCATAATATCCTTAAGGCTAGTTTTGACCATTCATGAATATTGTGTTTATGTGTAGTGTTTTACTTTGGTATCAGGAGAAGAAGCGGAAGTATGAACCTCCAATTCCCACTAGAGTAGGCAGAAAGAAGAAGACCAGAGGACCTGACACTGCCAATAAGTTACCAAAAGGTTAGCCAATGCCTGACTGTAGTATGCCTTGCTATGAGAATGCTTAATAAACCTTTTGTTGGATATCCCTATAGGCAACCGACAAGTATGAAGCTACAGGTTCTGGGGGATTTTATCAGCCTACATGTGCAACCAGGGTTCATACATGTCATTTGTTTAGGGATATCCAACAAAGCAGTTGCAGTACCCAGACAGGACAGCCATTCGCCCTTACAGGGCTCATGCTGTCCTGTGTGGGCACTGCATATATATCACGCTTTTATGCATTAAGACAGGTTGACATTGGCACAAGCTCAGGATGCATGAAGTGTCTTTGCGATGCAGTGTACGTAGCATGACATCGGTGTACTGTTATTTCACAGCTCATAATTGAAATGCACAGAAATAGTCTAGAGAAAAGGAAAGCATGCATGAGTTTGTGTCAAGGTTATGGACAAGCCCAGTTGGTGAATCCATGATACAAAGCTTTCTTAAAGTTTGAGATGCATATGTACTCCTGTAGTGCCACCTATAGTGCCGACATGTAGCACGATGAGTGGGTATATCAAAGGCTGACAGTAAGTTATTCAACACCTGGAACTAATTGGGCTGCCATGCCTTGGCTGATCACAGCTACCAAACCTATAATTTTACCTGATGCTACTCCACTGGTGCTAGTCAAGTCTTTGCTCATTCTTGTAACATGGGCAAAATAATCAAATCTGGTTTGTTGCAATTCTCTTCAACTTGCCACAGTTCCAAGGTTGCAAGCACATACACCATACATATTTTATGCGCCTTGCTGTATAACAAATCCTAGTGCATATTCTTGTACAGGTCCAAGTTTTACAGCCCCACGCTAATCTGGAGTTTAGTGAGCCTTCCTAGCTGATTTCAAAGTGTGAATCTCAGTGTAGAAGGCGAAAGAAACTGTGTCCTTTGCTCTTCACATAGTGTCAAAACCGGCCATGACCTGGGTTTCGCTACGTACACGTTTATCCACACAAAACGTATAAACTCGCCCATCGATGACACCTGCCAGACCTCTCTCCCCTCCGCACTGCATGTGCTTAAAATTAACGTGTACGGAAAAGCTCACGCAGGGATAGACTAGTATTACACTTGACCTTACTTACCTGAAATTACTCACATACTAGTCTTTTAGCATCATAGGGCAAACCCCTTTGTGAACACTCCTGGTTGTTATAGAGTGATACCAATCATTTGCTGCTCTTTGCTTATTTGTTTTCCATAGCAACGGAAATTCTTGATGGTTGTGGTTGAGTGTTAGAGTAATAGATCGATAACAAGAGGGGAAAAGGCAAACAAACTACATTAATTTGGGTTCACTCATGTTACACATTACATGCTGTAACAAGTATCGTATTCAAGCATATACTTATCATTAAAAACTGATGGTCAATTACTACAATGGATACAGGGCTTGTGTGTAACGTAATACACACGAGTGTGCAACATCACGTCCAATGGTCGCCAGCAATGCTGTGGTAAATCTATGACTAATGTTGCTGCCCAAAGTCTTGTGCTGACGGTTTCTGTTTGATGCAAGATCCTAAACATTGACACATGAAAACACCACCCACATTTTCACAATGAAAAGTCTTGGAGAGATTTTACCCATATGCTGTAATGAAGCTGCTCGAGCATTTACCCTGCTTGTGCGTTTGATTGTGGCTTTTCATGGTTGGGTCACTCCTGAGTCACATGTGCTACATTAGTTGAGTACAGACCAACTAGAAGATAACATACGCGTCTATGACATGCTAACACAAGCGGAAGGTATTAGTGTGGGTTTATATTTCCTATGTCTGAAGGTGAAAGGTATACATAGTACAATGGCTACAAGGGCTCTTTAGCTGAAACTTGGAGCTCCAAAAACCCTGGGGACATATACGACATACATGTCACCATATCCAACCTAAACACTAAACAGTAGTAAAAATGTCCTAATTGATTTTCCTGAAGAACCCTGAAGTACGTAGGTTTATGCATTATTCACATCACATGTTACACTATGTGCAAGCAGGTGTACATATGTGGATTAGTTATAACAGTGTGGTATCATCATCACACAACATTTTTGTTCTGTGTGGACGTTATGGCATGTTTGTGTTATGGAACCTGTTGCAGTTACAGAACCTTGGGATTGAGTTGGAGCAACCTCGTTGGAGCTTTCCTCATCCATACATTTATGGCTTGTGTACAGAACATGCATTCTGCTCCATTTTCACTTGGATTGTTGTTGTCTGTACATCCTTTGTCACATGTGTATATACACAGGAATGTTGCTGAGCAAGTTCATGTTACTGTGCTTGTTGGTTGGCATTTACACATCCCATAACCAGTGTACATGTGTATGTATGGTGTTACAGGGTGTGATGTGTAATAATTGCCGAGCGCATTAGCGCGAGGCAACTACTCCGGGTTGTATTTTCGCGATATGCGTACGTACGTCGTCAATTTGTCACGCTTAGGAATGTCAATTACTCACCAGAGTGTAACTTTCGTAGGAAGTCTGGCTTCGCGCGCAGTCAGTAGAGCGCGCGCACGAGCGGCCTCAATCGGACTGTTGATGCATTGGCTGGCAGGCGCGAGGCAAAATATGCGCGTGCACATTCCTAGTATTATACATCTTCTCTCTGTCCAGTTACCCCACACACTCGATGTCGATTAAAAGTACTGAAGTTGGAACGTATCCTGGATTTTCTAAAGATGGAAGAGGAGCTCATTCAAAATATGGAGAGGCTTCGTCCACAAGAACAGAAAGAAGAGGTTCTGTTTTGAAACTTAGTGATGATTGTGTGCTACACCAAGGTATTGTGCATATTTATGCAATTACCTGGTAATCACCCTTATAAGATTGTAATTGGCATGTTAAACCCACATTTTTGACTAGTGATGTTAATTTGTTCTGGGAAATGCTGGCATCTTGGTTTGTGATAGAGCAGTGAGATACAGTGTGTTATGTTAATGTAACATTTCACACTGTCAATACCTGAAAATATTGTCTCGGTCAGGTTAAAGGTGTCGGTAGACATTTCTAGAACAATCTTTCTGGCTAACAGACATGAGACGAGAGTGTCGCCTGTACTCTTTGCACCTCACTGTGTGGTTCAGTTAGAGTTACAATAGTGCCGGAAATATCAAGACTGAGCTATGTACATAGATATTTTTCATTTTCAAGAGAAATTACAATGTACAGATTTTTGTGCCAGTACCACATTATCTGTGACGCAGACAATTGTACCTCTAAGGGTGTCAGTGAAAAGTAATTCACATGGCAATACAACCTGTTTTTAAGCACCTCTCTCCCCTCGATTGTGTGTCATTGATACTCTCAGCCAACAATTAGTACTACAGGTGTTTTCGCTAGAGAAAACTGTGAGTGTTTTATGGTTCGCATAGCGAGTGTGTTTGTACCAGTTTTTATGTTGTAGTTTGTGTTACGTAGGTCATTGTGTCAACCTACGACACAATATAGTTACGCACCTACACGCCAGCTGCTGTAATCGTCAAATCAACTAGGTTTACTGCTGTTGAGGGGTATTTGTTGCAATAGTAGGCTATACACATTCAAAGCATATACATACGTACTATTGTGCATATACTACTATTGTGCATATACGTACTATTGTGCCGTTGTTTATTGTGTGGTATTGTATGTGTAGTAGTCCCAAGAAAGTGTAAATTCACTGAAATACAGTTGTAGAACTAAATTCCTATCCATAGTCAGAGCTAATAATTAAGTAAATACGTATGTGGTTCATGTAGGAAGAGCGTTCAAAGGTAGACGAGCTTAGAGGTACTCCCATGGCCGTTGGAACCCTTGAGGAGATCATTGATGACAACCATGCCATTGTCTCAACCTCCGTTGGCTCAGAGTACTATGTCAACATGCTATCATTTGTGGACAAGGATCTCATTGAACCAGGGTGCACTGTCCTACTCAACAACAAGGTATATGAATGCCACCAACTTTCCAATCCCGCTCCACTTCTTGCCTCTATAGTTCCATGCAGTGGTAGGTGTACTAATGGATGATGCTGACCCCATGGTGTCTGTCATGAAGCTGGATAAAGCCCCCGAGGAAACCTATGCAGACATCGGGGGACTAGATGCTCAAATACAAGAAATCAAAGTACGTATTACACACGTGTGCAATGTAAGCGTATAAGAACTGGCACAGATGTAGTATTGTGCAGGGGTGCATGCTCTGCTTCAATGCAGTTCAGTGTGTATACATACGTACTTGTAGTGCTACTATAGGATGTCATGTTTTCAGTTTGTAGTGCTTGTTTGTGTGTTTTGTCTAGGAATCAGTAGAACTACCACTGACACACCCTGAGTACTATGAAGACATGGGCATTAAGCCACCTAAAGGTGTTATACTCTATGGAGCTCCAGGAACAGGTAATGTCATCATTACTTTCTCTGCAATTCTGTGTAATATGACAGTCTCTTTTTAAATCTTTTGCAGGCAAAACCCTGCTGGCCAAAGCTGTTGCTAACCAGACATCAGCTACTTTCCTAAGAGTCTGTGGATCTGAACTCATTCAAAAATATCTCGTGAGTATAATAATGGTAGTCTTGTGTAACTGTTGAAATGGCACGTGACAACTCTTAAGAGCATGTTTTTGTTGGCAAAACAAATTTACCTGTCTCTAGTAACTAATGCAGTGTTTAGTGTTGCAAATAGATTTCTCAAAAACGTTTGCACTGTATGTTATGCAAATACAGTAGGACCTCTCTAATCCAGAACAAACTAGTTTGAATGCTTCGTAACACGCCATTGATTAATGCCCAGCTTGACATGCATGCACACAATTATTGCACTGAAGAGTGTATGTGTATGTATAACTACGATGAACACCCTAGAATTGGAACACACCTTGGTCCCAAATTACACTTCTTGATTGGGATAACTACATTTTGCTCACAATTATGTATTATAGTAGTTGCCTCTTGGTTAAAAGTGATATTAGCTCATTGCTTTCTGAACCAAGGACTAGACCAATTTCAATATGATTTGTCTGTTTCAACTCTGCCCACATATTACTGGTACAGGTTGGAATTGTATTGCTTTGGGTCCTAACAGTGTTTAGGCTTGAACTCAAGCCAAATGTGTGAACCTTTGTGGGGTTGTGTGCAAACTTGGTCTAGAAGATGGAGCATGGCGGAGTGTTTACCCTTACCCCAGGGTAGTATTTCAACGAGGTTTTATGGTTGTGTAAGAGTCACGAAATATGCCAAGTCAGCATTTCTAAGACAGTACCGATCCCACCATCTTTGCAGTGTTCCTGTGTCTCCCTGTGACTCCCCAGTCTCCCTGTGTCTCCCTGTGACTCCCCAGTCTCCCTGTGTCTCCCTATGACTCCCCAGTCTCCCTATGACTCCCCAGTCTCCCTGTTTCTCCCTATGTCTCCCTGTGACTCCCCAGTCTCCCTGTGTCTCCCTATGACTCCCTGTGTCTCCCTGTGACTCCCCAGTCTCCCTATGACTCCCCAGTCTCCCTGTTTCTCCCTATGACTCCCTGTGACTCCCCAGTCTCCCTGTTTCTCCCTATGTCTCCCTGTGACTCCCCAGTCTCCCTGTGTCTCCCTATGACTCCCTGTGTCTCCCTGTGACTCCCCAGTCTCCCTATGACTCCCCAGTCTCCCTGTTTCTCCCTATGACTCCCTGTGTCTCCCTGTGACTCCCCAGTCTCCCTGTGTCTCCCTATGACTCCCCAGTCTCCCTGTTTCTCCCTGACTCCCCATGCCTTCCTATGACTTCCCAGTCTCCCTGTATATTCCTATGACTCCCTGTGTCTCACTATGACTCCCCAGTCTCCCTGTGTCTCACTATGACTCCCCAGTCTCCCTGGGTCTACCTATGACTCCCCAGTCTCCCTGTATATTCCTATACTCCCCAGTCTCCCTGGGTCTACCTATGACTCCCCAGTCTTCCTGTATATTCCTATGACTCCCCAGTCTCCCTGTGTCTCACTATGACTCCCTAGTCTCCCTGCATATTCCTGACTCCCCAGTCTCCCTGTGTCTCACTATGACTCCCCAGTCTCCCTGTGTCTCCCTATGACTCCCCAGTCTCCCTGGGTCTACCTATGACTCCCCAGTCTTCCTGTATATTCCTATGACTCCCCAGTCTCCCTGTGTCTCACTATGACTCCCCAGTCTCCCTGCATATTCCTGACTCCCCAGTCTCCCTGTATCTCACTATGACTCCCCAGTCTCCCTGTGTCTCCCTATGACTCCCCAGTCTCCCTGTGTGTCTCCGACTATGTGGGACTCTCCTATCAGTGTGTGTTCTATAATTATAGTTCAACCTCACAGAATCTTGTAATTAATAATAATTTGGTTAATTTGGTTCACTTTCTGCCTCTGGATCAGACTCTCCTATGAGAGGGAAGGGGAGGGGGAGGGGGAGAGAGGAAGAGAGAGGGAGAGAGGGAGAGAGGGGGAGAGGGAGAGAGAGGGAGAGAGAGGGAGGGAGGGAGAGGGAGGGAGAGGGAAGGAGAGAGAGAGAGAGGGAGGGAGGGAGAGAGAGGGAGAGAGAGAATTGAACGGGACACGGTGGTCGGTTGAAAAGAGCTCTGTCTATATCCGGGTACAACGGGCTCTTCTCTGAACACTGGAACTTGCTGATGCAATCAAATACTCAAAAGGACTTTTGCTTTGCCGTCCACTATGTCATCTACTAGAGCCCGGTGTCAGAAGTGCGGCCGACGTTTTCAGCGGCTCAATACGCATCTGTAATTCAGTGCTACCTGCCGCAACGTCGGAAGACCGACAGAACAGCTGGCTGCCACACCCTCTATATCTATTTAATATCGCTCCCCCCTACCGGTCACCTCGTCAGTTTTTCAGGCCAGCGCAACCGAGGAGAAGAACAACTGCCTGTGTGCGTTTTCACTGAGGTCTATGAGTCACCTCCTCATCTGTCCAGCTCTTCATCTTGGATGCCTTCTGCTCCTCTTGTATGTGTAGGATTAAGGACCCTCTTTTCCTGAAAGGGCACGAGAGCTAGGCTAGAATTACAGTACTGTGTGTGTTCTTGTGTCTTCTAATCCAGCACTATGCCATGAGGCAGCCAAGGAATGATACCAAGCAATGCATGTGTAGTAGGCATAGAATTTTCTGAAAATGATTGGTATGCCGGGCGAAACACAAGTGAAAAGGGTAATAGGCAAAGCCTTAGTTCAGTGTACTGTGTAGCCATGGAGTTACTCAGGGGCTTAACACTGCGGTCTTGCTTACTGCCTTTTACCTTTTTGTGGTAGTCGTAATTACTGCATAATCAATTCATCCTACGTACATGATTCAATAAGCTATATAACTGTATGCTCGATTGTGTGCACTGCATGCACATCAGTCACTTTTTTGCAGACCTTTCGCCCCTGTGTGTAACATTAACAGGTGTTCCTTAGTTCACATTCTCTATGTAGTTGTGTTTTCCCCTAATTGCTGCAGGGAGATGGCCCAAAACTTGTAAGGGAGTTGTTTCGTGTGGCGGAAGAGCATGCCCCATCTATTGTGTTCATTGACGAAATTGACGCTATTGGCACCAAAAGGTATTGGCTAATTATGTTGTAACTTGTGTGTTTTACTCTACCCATATTATGCCATTTGGTGTGGGTGTAATCCATTGAATTGCTCTGCTGATTTGTTTTAAACTAGTCTGTTGTTTTGTCGTCTATTATGGATGGAGTCATGATGAGCCTTTGGGTTGTTGTGAATACTGTGGTTTAATATGCTGCATGTTGTTGTGGTGCACATGCATGTGTGTAGTATAGTCAAACATTGGAGAAAAATCACTGTGAATTGGTGCCTTTGACAACCATCTGTGTGGCAACCAACTGTTTTCACCGAAAATGTCTCAGTCATGGCCTGGCAGTAGCATGATATTTCCAATGTAGTAGCACATTTATGCAAAACCTTTGGCACAATTATGTGAGCCTTCATACACACATGAAGTAGGCACAGCCCAAGACTCGTACTACCACACATTCCTGGCCCTCCCATTGTTTACTGGCTCTCGGTCATGGTAAGCTAAGGTTACGCTGCTTGTCTTACGTATGTATTACTTTCCCTTGTGAGCTCCATTCTTGGTAAGCCAGTGCCATTAGCCTATTCTTTAATGTCATGCCATAAATCGTTTGTGAGGCAAGACCGAGAGAAGAGTCGTAGGATGCTCCTAGAAGAAACAAATAGGTTTACATTACGGCAAGGAAGTGGTTTAGTGTAGAATGCACCGTAACCATGGTTGTGCTGCAGAACGTGCATATCTTGGCTTTTGCATGGTTTTAGACTAGAAATACTGCCGTCAGTAGACCACGTCAAGCCAAAGGCATGTTTGATCGACCCACACTGTCTTTGCAGCTAGAGTTTCTGACCCTTACCGTTTCTGCTCATAAACATCTCTATTCCATCATCATTATCATCATGTGATTGGTATACAAGAGACTGTTAGGCTAGGTTCACAATGTGTCGCATTGCCCCATTGCGCCTTGCCACTTTGCGGTATCGCGAGGATAGAATCCATTCCTATCTCTGTGGTAGAACACGATGGGCACAGCGCGACGGGGCAATGTGACATAATTATTTAACCTAGCCTTATGCGGCTGTTACAATCTAAGTACGCCTATACGGAAACATTAAAGTAGGAATATTTCGCGTTTGCATGCCATACACTCCTGGAGGCCACATCATACACTCCAGGCCAAGGGTTATTCAGACAAGGGATATCTTATGGCTACAGGGAGGTTGTCTACAGGGTAGACTGGAAAGAAGAAACTCTGCCTGTGGTTTAATGTTTTTGCGTCCTTAGTTACATAGCACGAAGGCCACTCTCCCAGGGAGGGGGTTTGCTCAACCTCAGCAGGTCAAACAAGATGTAATGTTTCTTATGACCGAAAAAGCTCGCTTTTTAGTGGAGAGAAGATACGTCCCCTGGGTGTAATAGCTTTGACCTGGGTTAACTGACGGGCCAATCCTCCAATCAACAGAGCCAGTTTCTCGCTCTAACAGAGGATAGCTGCATCACTACATTTACAGCAACGCTGGACTAGTTACACATCCTTCGAGTAACCTCATCCCTCAACTATGCACTAAATGGGCTAAGCCAGTGAATATTGACTTTTTCACTTGTTTTCATACAGCCTTCTTCAGTAGTAAAAACTGAAGGGGAGGGGGGGGGGTCAACAGTGAGACGATGTCTTGTCTCAGAGAGCAGAATTATTCCACTCACCTAATGCTCGGGGTGGCAACAGTCCCGGTTCCTCCATTGCCACATCGTCCACATTTGCTGGGCTTTTGCCAAGGGAGCTGAATAGTGTACAGACCAAGGCTAAGTGGTGGGTCAGGGGGAGTGCTCCAATCTGGATTGATGAACAGACACTGTGTAGACATACTGCTATAAATGTAATGCTCCTGACTAGCCTAAAATTGAAGTGCAAGGGTAATTAAAAAGGGATGGCAGGGAAGCGGAAAAGGAGACAAGAACGAGGGAGAAAGGGGAGGCAGAGGGTGGCGTACAGCAGGCTCGATAGTTATACCTAAAGATTAGCAAGTGAGACTAGACAACACATCACCCGTAGAGGTCGCTGGTATAGCAGAGCAATCATATTGACACATACATTATGCACTTTGCAAGTGGGTACAAGTAAACGACAGGAGCAACATTTGAAAAGCCTGTCTGCAAGGCCAGGCGTCTTCTACCCACCTATGATAGTGTAGCTAGCTAAACACCATATTTCGTAGGAGCTGGTAAAACGACTCTTCTCAACTACATTCTGACCGAGCAGCACCAGAAAAGGATTGCAGTCATCCTCAATGAGTTTGGAGAAGGTATACACACTCTCCAGTGAAAGCAAAACAGCAACACGTAAGGAGTTGGCAGGCAGAACTGCAGAAAGATATACATGCTTAATAGCGAGAATTGATCCTTGCTTAGTTGCCTCACGGTAATGCACTCGGCAATTATAGCCATGAGGCATGGTCAGATGTATCCTATTGGGCTAGCTTCCTCGGCTCTTTGAATAATGTGTCACTCATGGCTACTAGCTGGCATCTGGTCCCCAAGTGGGGGGTGTTGTCTGACATGTTGAACACCTTGGGTTGCAGAGCATATGTTATTAGGTGTAGAACCTGTAGTGGCAACGGCATCTACAGAGTGAAGAAGTTGGTCCCACTGTAATGGTGCTGTGCAGCAACTAGGCTCCATAGTGCTGTCCACAGATCTAAAATGAGGCAGTGGTGGCTGTTATCTACGCAAAAACCGGCGACGATAAACAGCTCCTTGATGCCTGTTTTCTCTTTGGAGTCCATGCAGGTTTGACTACCACTTGCACGTATCTCACATACAAGTCTCAACACCTGCTATTATACATTGACCACAGTGGTTATATTATGACCACTTAGTTCCCTCTATATGGCCATCTGAGGTTTATGCCAATTTCATGTAAATGCTGATACACTGGCAGGAGCAACTCAATATTATGTTATTGCCGACATGTGATTTAAATGCACCACAATAACTAGACAGTTAGCTGTTGGCCATGATCCAGTTTCTGGATGCATACCTGCACACGAAAGTAGTACAACCAATTAAAAATTCTTCGAATTAAAATGGTGAATATAGGGATGGTATAAAAAGCAGGAAGACTAGGCAGGAATTACCTAGTACATGTGATGCAGTAGTAGAATGGTTACATCTTCAAACTGACATTGCTTGCTTGTGTAGATCTTCCTCCACACAAGCCCAATATTGTCGCAAAATATGAGTTACGTGCTCCCTCGTATGATGTGCAGCCATGACTCATTTCCTAAGCCCATGAGACAGATAATGCACGGGTATTGCCCTCTCTGACAGCACCTCAGTTTTGGGCTGTGACTGCATTCAGTGCCTTCCATGTTCGCTCAACTATATAATCAATTTAACAATGCTGCATTCCTGGTCCTCTACGGAATCCCTTCACCAATTCTTTACATCATTCATTAAGTAGTGACAATGTAGGGCTTGTGTGGAGTAAACTTTACATCAGCAAGTGCCGTCAGTTCGAAGCATGTAGCCATCATCCATTCTACTTCTGCATCACATAAACTCGATCATCCCGGTCTTGTCATGTCTCCCTGCTTTTTATACCACTTTTGTAAAAAAAAAATTTATGTAAGTATGCTTCACTTACAAAGGTACGATAGCCATTCTGGGGGTGAGAGAGAGATCCAGAGAACAATGTTGGAGCTGCTAAACCAGCTTGATGGCTTTGACTCAAAAGGTGATGTCAAGGTAAAGTGCTACATGCCGCAGCTGTACGTAGTATGTGGACCGTAAGTGACTTTTACTTACGGGTAACATAGTATAGGCACGTCTTGCCTTTATATATACTTGTTGCCGACAAATCTTGACATCTGTTACTATCATCAAGACCCCTGCTATATCACATTGTAATTGCTGGGAATATGTGTTTCTATTTAACTATAGTTATAAAGAGTGCCTTATCCTGTGGCCGGATATGAAACTGCAACTAACTAACTAATTAACTCGTTATGGTGCACATCCATATATTTTAACATCAATGCTACTGTGTGTTCACCTTAAAAACTGTAAAAATGAGAGCACTAGAGTTTAAATCCTCTGCGTACTTGGAACATTCATACACATGCATGGGTCAGTACTGCTACTTTGTCCTGGTTTCTAGCTTGCTAGTTAACTGCACTTTAGCATGACAGAACTCACCCCCTGTTGTAAATTTGACGGTAAACAGGTGATTATTTAATATTATGTAGGTCATTATGGCTACAAATCGGATTGAGACCTTGGACCCAGCATTAATCAGACCAGGTTAGTACTTATCCGTAACATGTTTATAGTCGTAATCTAAAATCTTTCTATACGTAGGTCGTATAGATCGCAAAATAGAGTTTCCACTGCCAGATGAGAAAACAAGGAGACGTATATTCCAGATACATACCAAGAAAATGACTCTTGCACAAGATTTAGACCTGGAGGAGTACATAACAGCTAAAGATGATCTCTCCGGAGCTGACATCAAGGTATATATTAAGCATCCAACGTATGAAAGCCAATCACTGCTCTGTTATTTTACCCATGCTTGGGAAATGAGAGTATTTTCTGATTGCAGGCAATCTGTACTGAGGCTGGTCTGATGGCTCTTCGTGAGAGGAGAATGAAGGTGACTAGTGAAGATTTCCGGAAGTCGAAGGAAAATGTTCTTTATCGAAAGAATGAAGGAACTCCAGAGGGACTGTATTTATAGTTACTTACAAACAGTAACATTTGTGGTCAAATAATTCTCCACCTGTGTATGTATGTTTAAGTGCAATATTTCGTGAACGGGATAGAAGGTAGACACTCAGCAGAAGAAAAACAAGCTTAGCAGTGCCACTATAATACATAAAACTGCATGTTACACAGAAGTGAGGGGATTGTGTCTCAGTAGATACTTTTGCTCCGCTTTGGTGCTCTCCAACCATGGAAGTCGATGAAATTTGCTGAGAATGCATCGCCCACACAAAAGGGGCGGGTCTGTGATTGCTGTCTGGACCAAGAACGAACTCCACACACGAACACAGCTAGCTAGGATGGAGGCAAAGGAGTTGTTTTTCAGCTATATACGGGTGAGATCACGTTGTACGCCTCTTTGTAGAAAAGCTGAAGTATTGATCCTGAGCTGGGTTGAGCCGCTGTGCAAAGCTATTATCCTTGTTATCACCAAAAAATACCTCAGTTGAGTTTACACTACTGTGTCAACGAGGGGAACCATGTACATGTCTTGGACTTTTTACGATCAGCATGCAGAATCAACTTTCATCCTCTTATCTGCCACAGCTATACTGCAGATTTGGATAAAAAGCTCATTTTCCCCTATGGTGTTGGAGGAGGTAGATTTTGATGCCAGCGAGTCTGGTCATGGTGTAAAATTTACTGCGAGTGGAGTAAACTGGACTATGTGTCGATTGGGTAAAGATGACTACAGCCGCTCTATTTCAAACTCATTTCTGCCATGAAAGACGTGTGTGTGATGCTACCTAGTTCAATTATTATGCTAAAATGTACTGTTTACAGTTTGAGATAAAAGTCAATGCAGATATTAATAATATGATACTCAGGTGGCTGCCATAGCACTAGGGCCATAGACCACGCACCCAGAGCAATGGGCGGAACCGTTAACAAACGAACATACACCATATGAACATGAGGTGTCTGTCTCACCTCCCAGACACCTCAACTTACCCCTTCCACCAGCAACACCCTGCAGCTCCCCAGCAATCTGAGACTGGGTCTGGTGTACGCTGGGATTATCGCCGTATAACCTTTCTTAGCTCCCAAACATCCAAAATAAAATACCTTTAACAAAGAGCCAAATTTATCCTCCCACAGCTCACTACCCAAAATAAAGGATGCTTTCCTGAAACTATCAAGAGAAATGCTCAAACCCACCCCCAAGCTTCCCCTGCAGGGCAACCAAGAAATTGGTCCTAAGACTGGACAATCCTCATCATCACTCAACAGGCACTCCTTCATTCCCTCCCTCCCCCTATGCCTACCCAGTTCCTCATTTAGCCCATGTGTGCCTGACCTGAACTTAAACATTAATCTAGACCCTTGTTAAATGTCTTATACAACAACAGCTTTACTTTGCTATTTAGCCCCTCTTCAATCTCCCTCTCTTTCATACTGTCCCTACTATAGACAAAATTCCCTTCATGGAGCAATCCCCATTTTGAATATCATGCAACCACTCTGCCTTATCAAAATAAGAAGCTACATGGTTGTGTGTGTGAGGCATATCAAGATGAAAAAGTCACCTAATTCACAGGCCTCCCTTCTTTGTAAGTATTCCATGTTCTCTTCGCTATTTTTATGCCCTACCTGAAAACACATTCAACACTGACACCCTTTCAACAACTCCTTCTGAAGTTGCGGCTGAACCTTGCGGGTCAATTGTAAGTGTATCACTTTCGACTTCACCATTCTGCACAGAACTGCCAAGTATAAAAAATTTCGAGAGGGAGATCTCCCTCTTCAGCACATTTTCAAGAGGGAGAAACTGTCTCACATAATGTCACAGAATGTATATATCATACTGTAGAATGTTCTTTAAAGTAACTATTTATACGGATAGTTGCAGTCTCTACTTACGAGTTCATTCGATACCTTTGTGGTCGCGGGACTTTGCTGTTAACATTGCAGGTTAGGAGAGCACAGACGGTGTTGTTTTGAAGCCTTGGGCGATACTTGGTGTGAATTTTGTTTACCATTGAAAACACACGCTCTACTGGTGCCTGATCACACGTGAGGATTAGCAGAATCTTGATTAGTTAGCTAAGGCCGCTAAACAATGGAGATCCTGAGGGACTTCTGAGTTCAAGCACTCTCAACCACCACTGATCGACGTCACATCTATCACTAAATGCTAGTAGATCGGCAGAGAAGCAGAACGTTCGTCATTCCTCCAGAATTATGTCTATTTCTGCATCGTTTAGATCAGGTTGAAATCCGTCAATCAAAAATACACATGTTTATCCTGGACTGAACTGCACAGGTTTGGATCCAAGAGTACAATACATTTGAGTACTTCACTCTTGAATGCAAAGTGCTGCAGTAGCTCTTTGACCACAGCAACGTAGCCCGCCGTATTAGAGCTGGGTCACAATATTTGATATGTATCGGCGAGCAGCAGTTCCTACATCAAGAGCATTATCAGCTACATGAAGGATTCTGTCTTCAAAATCAATTGTTAACAGCACCAGCACTGCTCAATAATGTCACTATCAACAAAACGAGAAAGATAAGTGCGTATATAGAAGTGCTTTGGTTTCACGCAGAAGATTATACATTGCATATCCTTCACGCTGAAAAAGCAAATTGAAAGTATTCAATCTTGCAAGCGTATAACTAAGAAACTTGAAGAAGAGCTTCATGGATTGGCTATTATACCAGGTCTTTCAGCTTCTTTAATGCTGCTGAGGTAAATCTGAAGGGCGTCCCACTGTGATAATATCCAGTTGACACTCTTCTCTAGCGATAACCATCTTGTTGTGACATGCTTAGTAATAACCTCATGTGGAGTTTTAGTAAACTCCTAAAACTCACGGAAATCTTCCTTCTGACAAGAACTCTTGTCAAACCAAAAGTAGTGTCAACAATATTATATAGATCTTGTACAGGCTCACGCAAACATTTTACTAGGGCAACAGCACATAGGTTAGCAACATGAGAAATACACCCAAAGTCAAATACTTGCTGCTTTGTCGCTTCTCTAACTCTGGAGAGCACTGAAATTCTCTTTCAAACCATCACAGAGGTATTATCAGAAGAGAAGCCTTTCACGTTTTCCCATGCAATGCCATTATTTTTAATGCGGACGGTATTGCAGTTGTGACCTTTCGCGTATTTAGAATCAAGTAAAACCTTTCAGTATGAGTAGTGCCACAGTGCCGTCCGTCATATATGATAGGGAGTTTTGTTCATCATCATCTTCTTCTTCTTCTTCCTGTTCAACCAGCATAACTCAAAAACCGAAAAAGATAAAGCCATGAAATTTTGTAGGAATGTACATATCGATAACCACATGTGCAACGTCATACTTTTTTGTTTGTAAACAATGTTGTTTATTGTAAACAACAACAAAAGTGGCCCAGGCAATACATTATAATGGGTAATACGTTATACTATACATGTGTCAGTGTAACTCACAATTGGTAAGAGCGAAGTTTGTTACACAATGTATTCAATAGCCAACATCAAAATCACAACAATACATGTTTTTAAATAACAGCAAATAGCCTCAGGCACTTTTCTTTAAATTAACTTCTCAAACTTTCCAATGGTAGCCCGCATAGAGATGAAACTTGATATGTATGCCTATTATATCATTTCCATGACGATTACATGTTTCCATGACGACGGCATATTGTTCGAAAAGGCCTAAGGCAAATTGCTTCTTCACTCCTCAAACTTGCTAATTGTAGCACACATGGAGGTGAAACTTGGTGCGCATGTGTATTACATCGTTTCCATGACGACCACAACAACAAAAAGCCTCAGGCACTTTTCTTTAAAATTACTTCTTCACTCCTCAAACTTACTAACAGCAGCACACATGGATGGTATGCATTTCATTTCCATGACGACAACAGGCATTTTTTTCTCTATTATTAATTTTTTATAGGGGCTTGCCCCCTTCCACAGAGATAATACGTAGTAGTACAAGTGGAAAAATCATTTCTTCAAAATGAAAGGGGGATATAGGGATGGCTTGAAGCACCAAAAAGGAAGAAACAAGGGGTCACACAGCAAAGTTGCACAAAGCTACATGACACCATCCCTATATGTTTGTTTTATTGTTTATAAGCAAAGTTTAACAACAATACACAACAAAGATATAGGGATGGTGTCATGTAGCTTTGTGCAACTTTGCTGCGTAATGACCCCTTGTTTCTTCCTTTTTGGTGCTTCAAGCCATCCCTATATCCCCCTTTCATTTTGAAGAAATGATTTTTCCACTTGTTTCCACTATTTTTAACAGCTTATGATAACACTGCATTTATTGTTACAGTCACTCTGATGTTCATGGGTATGTTGTAGATAGGCTACCATAGACAAATTGAAAGTAGTAGCTAATGGGCTGCTAGTGCCTGAAGCAGGGGCTAGATACCGCATTCACCTCATGTATTGTCTTCAACAAGAATGTACTTAGATTATTGCACATGGTTGTGGTTGCATTGGCAGGCTTTGGTAGGCTTTGGTAATCAGGCTACAACGGACAATGAGGCCGTTTGACGGCGTGCAAGGCTCGCGTAACACCGCGCAAACTCTGGCAAGTTGCTCTTCGTGCAAATCAACAGCAAGATAGCGGGTTGGAAATGTGCACACTTACTTTCAGAAGGTATTGGAGGCTGAGAGTTCCTCTGCAGGTCTGCCAACTCTCGCTCGCCTGGTAATACGCTCGCTAGAGCATGCATTGGACAACGCCCCTGCCTGGCGCATGCGCGAGGCTCACTGATGCTGAGTAAGCAGCAAATGGCGTTGTTCAGGTCGACCGTGGAAGACCTCCATAATATACCGTAGTGACTAGCGGCAAGAAAGAAACGATCGCTTGATGTCCGTGCACACCTCCGGCGAAATTGGAGACCTTCAGTGAAAAAATCTGTGCTTGAACTAGTACTGGTAAGGAGATAGCGGGTTTAAAGAAGAAGAAGAAGAAGATGAAGAATAATTATGACGACACTAAAATCGTGAAATCGCGTATGAGCGAATTCTCGCGTGGACGACTGAAGGTGCGTATGAGTTCTTGGGGGACATGTATAGGTAGATATGGGCCCGTAAACTATTGCTAGTGTGTTTTGAAAGCCTAGGGAGTGATTCTCACGGAGTTTTTAGTCGTTTTGTACGCGGATCACGTGAGATTTCAGCCGCGTCATCCCTATAGAGAGTCTACCGACTCTTTAATATAAAAATGAGTGGAGACAAGTAAATAAAAAATCCTGCGGATTAAAAAAAGAGTGCATATAGGGATCGTAACGGTACCACGCATGAAGATGAAACTTGGTACGCATGTGTGTAACATCGTTTCCATGACGACCACATCAACAAATAGCCTCAGGCACTTTTCTTTAAAATTACTTCTTCACTCCTCAAACTTGCTAACTGCAGCACATATGGTATGCATATTATTTCCATGAGGACAACAGGCATTTTTTCTCTGTTATTAATTTTGATAGGGGCTTGCCCCCTTCCACAGAGATAATACGTAGTAGTATATAAAAATGAGTGGAAACAAGTAAATAAAATGTTATTCCTATGTTATGGTAAGCTGATTACACTTCCACCAAAATGCTCACTCCATGGAAATGTAGCATGACAAATCTATCAGTAAGTAGTTCATTACCTATAGCAATCGTCTCGTTCTGCTTCACCCCATGCTATTATGCTAAGTCCCGCTCAGTCTCTCCTTCGTCTGCCTCCGTTCCTTCCTTATCCTCCTCTTCCTCCACGATTGTTATTCTGGGTAGTGAGGATGATGCCACTTAGATGTTGTAGCTTTAACAGTAGGGATTGGAGTAATGGTAAATTAACTCTTCAAAATTACATTGATTTTCTTGACCTTTGTTTCATCCAAGAACATTGGCTGCTTCATGATAATCTGAATACTGTCTGTGAGATTAGCTCTGATTTTATGTCAGTTGGTGTCAGCGGTATGAGTTGTGATTTGCTGTCTCGTGGTCGTCCTTATGGAGGTTGTTCGATTCTTTACCAAAAATCTTGGTGAGCTTTATTGTTTCTCATAACTGTGATGTTAACATTGTTGTTGGTGACTTCAACGTTAACTTTGATCGAGGGGGTCAACTTGCCAATTTATTATACGATTTCGTGGCAGAGCTTAATCTTGTTGTTTCTGTTTTGAGTTTCGTGAAAGAGTAGGCTATACATATGAACGTGCTGATGGGCTTGCCCGTTCCTGGATAGATCATATTACTTGTTCGCAACACGTCTTCTATTATTTCAGACATACATGCTGTTCATTGTGGCACAATCCTTTCTGATCACTTCCCTCTGTTCTTTAAACTCCATATTCAACCCCAGTCGTTGCCTACCACTAAGCCAAGAGTTCTCCGCCGTACATGCATTGATTGGTCCAAAGTTACTCCTGCTAACATTCAAAACTACTGCGATATGCTCTCTCAATTTCTTGTTTCACTCCCGTCTGAGGTGTCCAACTGTGTGTCTTCATGCTGCCCGCATCATCGGGATGCTCTAGATTTTTGGGCTCAAAATTTTGTTTCCACCATGCTTGAATGTGCTTCTAACTGTTTCCCTACTATCACAAGTACCTCTGCTACAACGCTTGTAGGATGGAAGGACTCTGCTGGCAGATTAAAAGAAGCTGCACGCTTCTGGTACAAAGTCTGGATGGAGGCTGGGTGTCCTGTGTCGGCGTTCTCTTCCAGATAAAGAAAAATGCTAAGACAAGGTATAAGCATGAGGTTCGGCGATTGAAGGGCAGGCAACATAATTTGCTTCAGAATAAACTTGTTAAACTCTTCACTAGGAATGATGAGAAAATGTTTTGGTCAGAGATCCGTCGGCTCAATCATACTCAACCAAGATCGATACTTTGTGTGGATGGTGTTTCTGGTAGTACGAGTATTGCCAACATATTTGCCTCGAAATTTAAAGGAGTTCTTAATAGAAATCCCAATGCTCTTCAAACCTCTTTCTATTCAACGCTCCAGTCGTCTGTCACTGACACACTTATAAGTGAGGTGTATTTTTCAGAAGAAGATGTTGAAGAGGCCATTCATGAACTTAATCCACGCAAGTATGATGTTGGTGGGGTATGCACAGAGCACCTCAAGTTCGCTTCTTCTGTCATCTCAGAGTCTCTTGCTACATTTTTCACTTCTGTTGCCAGGTTGCATTCGTGACTGTGTCACCACGCCCATATTGAAGGGAAATAAGGACCCATCACGCAGTCAAAATTACCGCCAAATTGCTCTGGCTTCTAGTCTAAGTAAGATCCTTGAACGCCTCATTCTACAGAAGTATTCCACCTACTTCTTTAGTAGTCCACTGCAATTTGGTTTCAAATCTGGTTATTCAACAACGTTATGCACTGGCGTCGTGAAGAATATAGTTTCTCGTTACATTAACCGAGGATCTTCAGTTCTAGGGTGCTTCTTGGATGCTAGTAAGGCCTTTGACTTGGTTAATCATGAAGTGTTGTTTCAGACTCTGCTTAAACGAGGTTTACCCTTGCCAGTTGTTAGGTTTCTGTCTTCTTGGTATCATGATCAGCAAATGCGTGTTCGTTGGGAACAATCTTTGTCTAGCTCGTTTGGTGTGTCTAATGGCGTTAGGCAAGGCAGTGTGCTTTCTCCTGTTTTGTTTTCTGTATACTTGGATCAGTTGCTAGATATATTGAGTGATAGTGATGTTGGTTGTTATTGGGGTGGTCATTTTGCTGGTGCTGTCTGCTATGCCGATGATATCGTTTTTACTTGCTCCCTCTGCTTCGGCCCTCCGATGCATGCTGAGTATCTGTGATTCATTTGCAACTTCTCATGGGCTACTTTTCAAAACTCTGTTTTCGCGCACGGAAGTCAAATACGCTACTTCCTTGTGTCATGTTCAACAACACAAAGTTGCAGTATCTTGATAGAGTTTTGCACCTGGGACACATACTCACGTACAACCTGGACGACAGAGAAGACATCATCAGAGTCATAAAAGATATCAACCGCAAAGCTAACTTCGTTTTATGTAAATTTTCTGCTGCCAACCCCTTTGTCAAGTGTTTCTTATTAAGTCTTACTGTTTATCATTGTATGGTATCACCCTCACCTTCCATTAGACTCATTGAGGTTGCTCTGAATAAAGTATTGCGTAAAGTATGGAACCTCAGCAACATGTCACACACTGGGATTGTCCATAACATTGCACAAATACCCTACAATCAGTAACATTCTGTATGATCGTTTCTTTTCTTTCTTTTCTCATGCTGTCTCTACTTCCTCCATCCTTGTGAGATCAGTTTTTTTGGTGGATTATTGTTAGTGTAGAAAAGTGTGAGAGTGACAGTCTCCCCTTCCGCAGCAGTTACTTCAGTTTGAGGTTCAGCTGATGTCAAATCACTGCTGATATTCTGTACCCATCCAAACCCTGATAGAAGCAAAAAAAGTTCTGTTCCAAACACAGATGTCAGTATAGCTTACCATAACATGTAAAGCATGATTCGCTGCCCACATTAGGTCTGAATGAGAGAGTATCAGCCATGCTCAATGTTGAAACCTGCTGGCCAACACTACCAGAACCACAACCAAGTCCAGTGAAGCATGGCACGGTGCCAGTCTGTGCAGAACCTGTTAGGATAGACCTGGATCTATTGTATATACTGTGATGATAATATCAATACTGCTATGTATAGCTAGCTATAGTGCTGCGAAACAAGTTTATTCACTATAATATAGTTGTAGCCCTCCCATCAGTTATATATTGAACTTCCTGCAGCACACGTGTAGCTTGAAACTAACACAGCAGCGGAGGAATTGGCGTCTGGAAAAGAAAGCTTTTAGCTATACATGTAAGCATTGATCCCATAGGTCGCATGATAGCTACATATAGCTACGTAGCTGCATAAATTAGGCAAAATCGTCACAATGAAGCTAAGCCAGCATACTACACTGCCTATATTAGTTTGCCATACCTTGCTGAAGGAAGGTACAAAAAAGGAGGGCAGTTGCGTGGACCCAAAGAGTTAGTGACATTCTGCAAAATTGAAAGTGTCAGTCCTTGCAGCAGACAGTGGACGCTCCAGCAGCACCCGAAACAAATCACGCATGCGCATACAGTCCGTTACGTAAGACTCGAACGCTGAGCGTCAGCTAAGAGCATGTGCGCAACTGCAAATCCTTTATTGATTGTGAAAAAAATCAAATCACAAAAAGATGAAGTAAAATTGTCTCTTTGATGAAGCAAGTGATTCTTGTTGACAAGTGATCAATTGATGCAATGACAATGAACTGTGTTTTCTTAGGTGGGGTAGTTGATTACGTGAGTAACTACAATAATGTATGGCTGGTTGGTCTGAGTTTTATAGCTGCTCTGGATCAAACTTTTAGTGAGACTGCTCCTGTTGGCTGGAGTAGGGAAAGAGAGAGAGAGAGAAACATAAAATCTGGTTGCTAGCAAAGATGTGCAAGTATAATGGTGAGAAACAGGAGATGGAACCTCTGATAAGTGACCCTCCGAGATAGGGACAAACTTCTCTACATGTCCCAACCCTATGCTATTTGACCTCCAAGATAGGGAATGACCTCTCTACAAGGGACAAAATCGTTGGCCCCACAGTTCACTGTATACACACACACTTCATTACTCTACCTGAGTGGTTTGCTGGTCTGGTTGGAGGTGAAGCCATTGAGGCTGGAAATGGCCTTGTTGCCTCCCTCCTCACACATGTACTGCAGGAGACATACAAAACATCTCACAACGACTACTCAAGTTTATAGCAACTAGGTACATGCAATTTTCTGCGTTACTAACCCTCGGCACGCATGTGCAGTGACTTTGCCTCCCCTACAGTATGATTCACTTTACACAAGTGGAAAAATCATTTCTTCAAAATGAAGGGGATATAGGGATGGCTTGAAGCACCAAAAAGGAAGAAACAAGGGGTTATTACACAGCAAAGATGCACAAGGCTACATGACACCATCCCTATATCTTTGACTCATATTAAACTTTACTTGCGAACAATAACACAAAGATATAGGTGTAGCAGATAACTGTTGAAAGCAGAAGCTAATGGGCTGCTCCTACCTGCAGCAGGGTGTATGCGTAGTGTCTCCAACAACGATGCAATTAGGTTGTGGCACATATGGTGGGGTGGTTCCATAGGCAGGCTTCAGTAATTCCCTCGTGGGGAACTGAGGGCACGTAGGAAGTCTTGGGGCATATGTATAGCTAGGTATTGACCTCTAGACTATTGCTAGTTATTTTGAAGCCATGGTGAGTCATTCTCGCTGAGTTTTGAGGCGTTTTGTACGCGGATCACGTGAGATTTCACTCGTCTCATCCCTATATAGAGCGCCTACCGACGCTATGATAAAAGAACTGGAAGTTGTTGATTCCGGAGCAAGTTACTGTATGTATGGTACTATGGGGCACTCACCACAAAGGCAACATTGCGTCTGTTTGGATGCTTCTGCACGTCAAACACTCGTCCGTAGACTGAAAACAGCTCAGTAATCTCTTCCGTCGTCGTGTCTGATTTGACGTTCTTGACAAACAGCTGAGGAAAAAAATAATGATGTAAGATTCCCCTGACTGTACATACAGTAGAGGTATTCACCATACATACATAGTACATTTGCCCAGTCTCTACAGTAGCTTGTAACAGGTTTTCTTAGCCTTGAAGACCTCCATCTCGTGTGTGTCAGGACAATATATATAACAGTACACTAAAACACATGTATGCGTCATAACAGTTTCCGAACGACTGTTTTTTTTATTTTTTTATAAAATACTGTACACATCCTTACTCGAAGGGTCTTGTCAGCAGTGATGCTGTCAGCTCTCTGGACGATTGGAGTAGTTGAGACTGGCACAGACCTCTGCATGAAGGGAGGGAGAGTGGGAGAGAGGGAGGGAGGGAGGAAGGGAGGGAGGGAGGGAGGGAGGGAGGGAGGGAGGGAGAGAGGAAGGAAGGGAGAGTGGGAGAGAGGGAGGGAGGGAGGAAGGAAGGGAGGAAGGAAGGGAGGAAGGGGAGGAAGGAAGGGAGGTGGGCCAAGAATATGAATGCTGACCTGTATGTAAAAAGTGTTTATTCAAAGACCTACACAACCTAGAAATCCCAGCCTTTCGTTTGCTATAACTCCCTGAAGGCCATACAATACAGACAAGGGACAATATGGGGGCCAATGATTTTCATCCCTTGTAGAGTCGTCTTTATCTCAGAGGTCAAATAAAACAATATCATGGGGTTGTGTCCTTTGCAGAGGGGTCGTCCATATCTTGGAGCGTCCCTTATCAGAGGTTCCTTAGCACAACTGCAGATACAAAAGTAGTCAGAAAGTCACTCACGTAGAGTTGTACGGAGAGAGGTTTGGGACTTCCTGGCAGCCTTGTTCCATTGAGACCAGACATGGCCTGCAGCCCTCCTTCTCTGTCCATGATCTAGTGACAGTTGAGAGAAAGAAGGAACGACATTTTGGTGAGATGAAGGTATTGTACAAATCGGGAAAAGGTGTAGCTAAAGAAGGGCAGGCAAGTACATTGAGACAGCGTAAAAAATGGGACATTTGGTAAGATAAAGAAGAGGTTCATTAAAGAAGAGTGGCAAAAGTATAGTTAAGATTATGACAAACAGAAAGTACAAGTGTGCAATATGCGCAAAAGTAAGCATGGAAAAGACATGCCCGTATTCTTGGGTGCAGATGCTGGATTCAACAGCAAGTGCAGAAAAAGAAATTCTAAAACTTGTCGTGTATTGTGGGTTTTCCCCTACAAAAGCCCCCCTCCCCTCCACTAAACCTACCAGGAAGAGTTTATCTCTGTGTTCAGAGTGGTACTCCAGGAGATGGACTTTCCCGTACGCCAGGAACAGGGAGACAGCTTTTTCAGGACTGCAGCAGTGTGGCATGTACTTGACAAACAGCTTCACCTGCACACAAACACAGTCACATGACAATCAACTACACTTACAGTCACATTACATCAGCACTACCGGACCAAAACACTACAACGCAAGGGCCCTATGACTTGCAAATCTCAACAGACAAGATACTATTTATAAAGTACCCAATTTATGCGCACTTATTTTTACACGTGTACAAGTTGCGCAGGGAAACGACACAGCAGCCACTTAGTAAACACGATGCGAGTTACTACTAAACCTGTTATCACACTTGCGAGGGCATACTAATAAACTGTTGTTCTTTTGTAGTTGACTAGTTACCTGGGTGTGGTCGGGATTGGGCGATTTCTTCTCCGAGGTGGTGGAGACGACGACAGTGGATGATCCGTACTGAATGACTGTGTCACCCACGACACTGGAGTCTGTGAGGGAGGATGGGAGGGGGAGAGGGAGTGTGACGGAGGATGGGAGGGGAGAGGGAGTGTGAGGGAGGATGGGAGTGTGAGGGATGATGGAAGATTGAGAGGGAGTGTGAGGGGATGGGATGGGCGAGGCGAGGGTGAGAGGGCGTGATGGGGAGCTAGGCGATGGCGGCTGGTTGGGACGATGGGAGCGCGTGCGCGGGGAGTGGGTGATGGGAGGAGGAGAGGGAGGGGGAGAAGCAAGAGATAAGGCAAAGAAGAAGAAGAGGGAGCAAGGGCCTGCGATTCATGCTGAATTTACAGCCAAAAATTGTGTTGCCTTCTTGAGGCCCTAGTTCCATACACAAGACACACAAAGTTAGTGTGTATGCACAAATTAAGTGGTTCTGGGTTAACAGCTACAATGGGAGCACAAAAATCGTCACACAAGAGAAGTTGGAGCGAAGATGGCAGAAACAGGGTCCTCACCACTGCTTGAGCAGCTGCGGAGACTCAGCGAGCTGTCTGACCTCGGAGTAATCCCCCCACTCTCACCCATCCACTCGGTAGTACCCCACCCCACCGACCTGTAGCGGGGTAGAGCTCTTACTCCCTCCTCCAGTACATCGCCAGACGGGACAACACACTCCCTTTCCCAGGACAGCCTGCTCTGCCGTCCAGTTGAGAAATCACTCTCACCCACTCCGAAATCTGGCGTTGCCATGGTACCCAGGAACCCATACAGCGACGAGCGGTTGTTATTACTGTTGCCGGGGAACACCACGTCATCCTGGTTCCTATGGTGATTCAAAATCTTGGTGGTATCCATGACGACGGTTGCCATGGTGATGGGGTCCGTGATTGTCGTTGTAGTACTCGTGCTCTGTGTAAGTTGCGACATGGACGACTGTTGGGGGATTGGAATGGAGCATTGTGACATGGGACCGTGACCATGCAGCACAGGGTGGAATGGTCTGGAGACGGTCGTTGCATATGTCGGTAGAACAGGGGGTGAGGGAATGGGTGATTTGACAAGGTCAGAGTTCATTTCCTCCAGTGACTTTTCACCAACAGCCAGCTCCGTGGGTAAATCCCCACTAATCGGCAACCCCGCTTCCTCCCTGACATCGCTCAGAGAAGCCACACCCACTTTCCCCCTGTGGCACCGCACTCTCCTTGTCCTGGATCCTCCTTAGTCCCTGCAGAAGTGACGTGTTCAGCCCAACATCCTCCTCTTCCATCTCTCCATCGTGGCAGAAGCTCCTCTCCCTCCTCCCCAGTGGAGGGAACGTGTCGCTGATGGCCTGGTCCAACAGCGAGAGACTGAGATGTCCCGGCTTCATGAGGGTGAGCTCCAATTGGGAGATCTTGGTCTTCATTCTCTGGAGTTCTTGCTGCAGTTGAGTAGTCTTAGCTTCCAGTCCACTCTGGGCCTGTTAGCAGGTTGAGAGAGACAGTGTAACTTTGTCTATATTGTGCACAAGTTACACAGCCACATAGCTTTATGCAATGTTACATAACAAAAATCCCCTTATGCATTGCTGGATGACAGTCCATCTTTGATTAGGACAGCTTATCAGTTATCACTGAATTCACAGAATAAGGAATCAATTACAAGATGTTCACACATTAAAAACTTGCATGGCTCTTCACTCATGTAGGCAGGTAGGCAGAGTAATACCTAGTCATCTGAATGTGGGTTTAGGATTACACTATATGTGGCACGGGTATACATGTACCATAATGTCTGTATGCAATTCTAAGTATGGGAGTGAAAAATGAACTACTTGCGTTGGCTCGCCAACTCATTCTAGTAGGTTAGCATGTCTTCAGCACCTGGATAGTGGAGTTGATTTGCAAGGAGAAGTAAAGAAATCTCTGCTGCAGCTCCTCCATCTGTCTCTGCTGGTTCTCCAGTCTAGTCGACGTCTGCTTCAGTTCAACTGCATCGAATATATACAAACCGTGTTGACATGCCGATACCCTGTTATGTGCAATAGAAGATTTTAAGTGGCACATGCAAAATGCTATTGAGACCACCTTAGGAAACTTGCAACCCTAGACTTTACAAATATCTTGTAAAAAGCAGCAGTGGTTCCATACTCACATGGAGATGTAGTAGCAGTTTGCTATGGATGAGTCCAAACAGATATGCACATGTAACAGTAAAGAGCTGCAATAGTATCCTCCTTGGCTTCTCTTCAGCACTCAAGTAGTTGGGAATGAAACATGCAGTTGTCTTGTCAGTTAAATAGTTGGAGAAGCGTCCACAGTCACAGGACTTAAGGTGAAAGTTACGTAACATTAGGCGCCTCACACACGCAGACATTGTTTCAGCTCACATGCAGCCCCGCATGTGCATGTTTTCAACATGTATATGTCACACTCCTCGATCAAAACTAGACAATGTGGTCACAGTACACAACTCAGAATGACAGTCCTAATGTGTTTGTCAAACCTTACAATTGCAAAATTAATGATATGCTATAATAGCAACACATGTTTTAGCATGCATGTGTCACACTCCATGAGACTGGTCCAGTACAGAATTTGTATAGCCGCATGTGCTTGGTGTGCTAGGCAGCTACCTGCACATGCCAGCACACGATGCAGCCTCATATATGCTTGTTCTTAGCATGTACAGGTCACACTCCATGAGCTAAACACCACACTAGCAAGAATATACAGAGTTTATACAGCTCACACACTCCAGTAGAATTAAAGCAAGAGAAGTGAGCCTATCTAGTCGTCTAAATTGTCTGGTTTTTCAATATGTGTCGGCTGACTAATAATGCTGCAGTGTGCATGAGCAAAAATCAAGTATATACAGCGTTTCTAAAAATGCATTTGTTCTAGTTATGCAGAAAATCTATAGCTTGCACTGTCAAGTATAGAATCTCACAGTCAAATATAGTGGAACCTCCGATAAGGGGTCCTCCGAGATAGGGATCACCGCTTTACAAAGGACACTTGCTTCAACCCCATGCTAAGACTTTAGTGTATTATTTGACCTCCGAGATAGGGACGACCTCTCTACAATCACTGCCTCCATAGTGTCCCTTGTTCGGAGGTTCCTCTGTAATACGTATCGGTGACTCACCAATGACAGTTGTTATGTGTTTGGTGTGTTTGTCAGTCATGTGTCTGTTGAGATCTCTCCTCATGAGACTGTGCTGTTTACATCCAAACACTGCCAGTGGACACTCGACCAGCGAGAACTGACAGCCTTCGTCTGAACTCATGTGCAGCTGTGAAGGAGGGAGAGGGGGAAGGGGGGAGAAAGAGCAGGGAAGAGGAAGAAGAGAGAGAAAAACGAGAAGATGGTGACTTTGGAATCATGCACGTGGTGCAAAATAATGGTATATACATGCAAAAAATCAGTTTTTGTGCAACTTACATGCAAACAGCCCAGAACTAGCAATTTGTTACTTTGTACAAGCATATAAAATAGCACAGTGTCAAAAAACATACTAGGCTGGAGGTATATATATACATAAATACAGTATGTATATTTATACCTCGAGATCTCGTAGCATGCCTTGCCAGTTGCAGCCCTTCTGTCTGGAGGTGCAGTAGACGTGGAAGAGGAGGATCCTCTGGGCCAGACTGGGATCCTCGTGGTGACTGGTGTTGGGTCTGAAGCAGAGCGGACACTGGCTGCACTGAACCTGCATCCACTCCGAGATACACGGGTGGCAGAAATGGCGTCCGCAGCACGTGACTCACTGCGGATCATGTGGTACCAGCTGTAGGGTGGAGAGGGAGAAGAGAAAGTAAAGAGAGATGCAGTCAGACAAGATATCCACACGCTTGCAAAAAACACCTCTTTTACAAAACACAAATTTGATCTAGGCAATCAATACGCATACACTAGCTTCGTTTTCTAGCAGTTCCCTCAATATTGAGGGGAGCCAGCTGGTGTATTGCAGCCAATGACTTCCACATCTGCACAAGTCTCATGCGAAAATAGTATTGAGACTGGAGACGCAGCTAGATCAATTTGTGTTTTGTAAAAGAGGTGTTTTTTTGCAAGCGTGTGGATAATTTTTCTGACTGCATCTCTCTTTACTTTCTCTTATGCAGCTACCTGCACATGAGGGTTGAGGGTTGTAACACTGGCTTCAATTTGGTTGGAGACTCAATACTGACGTGTGGTCCTGAGGGCCAGTGGAGTGGCAACCCTCCTGTATGTGAGGGTAAGCATGTTAATGTCACAGGCTAGCTCAGTGTGGACTTGGCTTATTTGAATACAGCTGTCCAGTGTCCTCCCATTGGAAGTCCCGTGAATGGCTCACTGCTAATATCTGTAACTGGTGTTTATCAAGACACTGCACTATAATTATGTGTTCGAGGATGGTTTCAATCTGGTCGGCATGTCAGAGCGTGTTTGTCAAAGTGATGGCACATGGAGTGGATCTGCTTCTGCCAAAGTATGTAAACTTCTCTATGCATTATATAGATATGGCAATCTGACACCATTTTGTATAACTAGCTGCTTAAGCTGTATGTCAACTTGCATAAACCACAGTGGGTCTACAGGAGTTAGACGATAGTAGGAAATTGGCAGCGTCGAATGCAATTGGGGGCTTTTACACTCTTTGTGTGCTGCTGAAGGGACTGTTTTCAGGCTAGAATGGCCAGAAACTGCTCTAGTAGCATATACGCGGCCTGAAAACTAGCGAAAGCTGCTTCCCGACGCGTAGGCTCCCGTAGACTGGAACAGTATTCGGTGACTTTCAGCTTTCTTGCTACTGCAACAGGCTGCATTCGAGAGTGCTGGGTATAGCGGGAGAGAAAGCGAGCCAGAGCGGCAGCTACAAAACTCGTGCGGAGTCTAGCAGCGAAAAAGCATAGCTTTGACGTACCTGTAACGTTGAGCTCTCGAGAAATGACCATGGCTTCTGCACAACCGCCCAGCTTGACAAAACTAAAGCGCTTTATTGCAGCTGTCTCTCTCCCGATCGATTGCTAGCTAGCTATAGCTCTCTCCGTACACTCGAGGGTGTGCGTTAAAAAGAGGGCGTTTTGAAAGCTTTTGCGCAATCTCATTGGTCAGAGCCTTACCGCCGGATGTCATCATACAAACACGTTATACGATGGCATTGGCTTGTGGTCTACTGATTGCACACTCGTGGCTTCAGTTTTGATAGACCACTCGGGCTACGCCCTCGTGCCCTATCATAACTGGCCACTCGTGTATATAGAGTAAGCCACCGATAATCGGACGCCATGTATTCTCGGACGCATTTGTGAAGTCTGTGCAGGACTAGATTGGCTATTGTGTATACCAAAGTGTAGTTATTGGTCATAAACTGTTGTATAAAAATATTCGCTCTTATCCGAGCTTTACCGTGGGAATGACGTTGCCGTAAAGTTACGATTCGGGCACAGCAAAGTTCGGACAAGGCCATCAAAGGTAGGACAGTCTCCCAAAACGGGAACAGTATGAATGATGCAAGCGAGTGTATGCTCGATTGATAGCTGTACCTTTTGGCTATGCAGCGACCCACAAATGGCCCTTTTTTGCCTTCGCGAAAGCGCAAATAGGCGGGGTCGCGTAAGCCGCGTTTTACGCGAAAAGCAGTTTTCGGCTTGTTTCTTCTAACACACGCGCCGGATGAAGCTATAAGATTTTCTCCTCGTTCTTCTTGCCTTATATTAGATGCCTGCACCACGATTTCCGTTGTTGTAAGATTTAATTTTTTTGTAATTATCAATAATTATTTTTTGGTAATTACCAATAAAAAGTTAGATCTCACAAAAACGGAAATCGTTATTGGATTGGACTTTGATCAATCCATTGTCGACCAGGTCTCGTTGGACAATCTGATTGAGATAGTGCTCCAGTGTCTCTTCCAGCGTCTGCTCACTTGATTCAGAGTTTGGATAACTGTAATGAGATGTCAATTCTTCAGTTGTTCCCAGTGGAAAAGTCACCTCATAATCAGTCCCAAGAGCAGGCGAAAACAGAGCTGATACTATCAATTCGGTGGTTAGTGCAGGAGAAACATTGTGATCCAATACAGCTAACAGCGCCACCTTTTACAACTCAGCTAGTGGATCGAGCAACGGCGAGGGAAGGATGACGCGCGCCCCCCAGGAACAATAGCTACGGAATGTTGCCTACCTGCCTCGCATACCCAGACCGCTTCACCCCGCTGAATCAATGGAATGTCGCTCTCACTTCCTACCCTGCGGTGTGCGCGTGGGCTAACTGTATATACAGGTGAATGCCAAAGCACCCATTGCGTGCTGAGCCCCGTAGATACATCCTTGATAGTGTGCCCCCCTCAAAGGCAAAGTGCTTCCTCCCAGAGATGCAACACGCTTGCAACCACACCGTACGGGAGACAATTCTGCAGCTATAGCTAGCTATCCCCAACTTGGTCCGGGCTGGACCAGAATTTTCGCACAAACGACCTTCACGCGGCCGCGACGCCCTGCCCACAGCCAGTAAAACGCGCTTTTTTGTCTGCTCAGTCCAAATCCACACACGTACGCATAGATAGCCATTCAGCTGAAATGCCTAAAGTGAGCATTTTTCTTGGTCTCTTTGTTAGTTGCGTTGCGGCTCAGTACAAATGTTCACTCAAACTGGAGGCTGAGGATGGGAGAGGAGGTCTCAGACAACCCAGAAGTAAGGCCTCTGGCGGGATTGCCATAGTGCTGTTCGAAAATGAAGAGAATATCCATGAGTTGGTCTTCACTTCAACCAACAATTCCTGCTCCATGGAGCTGTTGAGTGTTACCTATTCTAATGATGGTGATGCCGACAGCATTGAGATATCTCTTAACAATTCCCTCTTGGCGAACTTTAAAACGTATGAACATCACAATGATGGCCACAACTGGAACGCTTTTCGCACCGAAGATGGTTTTCAAATGAGACAGCCAGTAAACGACGGACACACACAATTGGAAGTTGCTGCAAGGGAGCTAGAAAATGTGAGAAATCGTGTTGAGATTGACTTTATGTTGGTTCAGGTAGAGTGTTTTCACGAACTTCTCCCCATTGAATGTCCAATACAAGCCACAACGGACAATTGCCCAAATAACAATGATGATGAAGGAGTTAGTGGCAGGGCACTTACTCCGATAGATATAATCAGATTATGTGGGGTTATTGTGTCGCTTTTGGGAGTGGTCTCGGGATACATATTGTTTGGAATAAATTTCTTCTGTAAGCTGAGGAAGAAAAGAGTAAAGAAGTCTGTTGAACTAGCTAACAACCTAGTACATTAGACTGTATCAGCCCTGCTTTATGTAGCTAGCTATAGGTCACTTGTCAAATTGTTTTCGCTTTAAAGTATAATGCCATTCTGTTCACCATTGCATTATCATAATATATTGCTTATATACATTAGGTGAATGAATGTGCCATCACAGCGGTTTTAGGTTTGTCTTTGTGTTGTGTTCTGTTGAAGATTTGAATCCGTACCAGCTTGTAGCTCAGTTGGTAGAGAAGTTGCCTAGAAAGTACAGCATTGTGGGTTCTTCTAACCAAGGAAGCTCTTCTTGTTCAAGAAGAGTGTCCTGGGTATAGTTTGCTTGTTTGCCTTAAATTTTCCCCTTGCTATCTCGTTGTCACATGCATTCGAATCCAATGCTCTCCAGAGGGTTAGCTATATGGGGATTTGAAAAACTTTCATTTGGCTACATGTTCATGCATGTGTAAACCTCCGGTTTAGGAAGGTGGTAGCTACGTCGCTTACTTTTGCAAAGTGTCATGCAGAATTATAGTTGGTGCTCTCTCTAGAGAATACTTGTGTAGGAAAAGTACTGAATGTGATTTTTGCCTCATTTTTCAGTAATTGAAATTGAAACTATATACAGTGCACTGCAGACTGAAAATGTTTTGATAAATTACACCAAACAGCTAAGGGACTAGGGGGGAGTTTCACTCACATTAGCATTAACAAAGATTTTTAGACACAAGTACAACAGTAATGCTAAATATTAGTTGCAACTATCATACAGAACTATTAAAATATTTATAAACTGTCTGTTTGTTATTATCGATTGAACTAAGAGACATCAATTCAATTGTATCTGTGCCTTTTCTGCAATTGCCACAACTCTTAGAGATTGTTAACTTCAGAGCAAAGAAACAATAGCCTGACACGATCCCACAGATGGTAATCAAAAGTCCACAAAATGCAACAATTTCTAGTTTAGGTACATAATCATACTCATTTTGCCTATCTGATATCATACAATTTTCATTAATTACTGGTGTAAGTGGACATTCCCCAGATATCTTTATGTGGGGACAATACAACTCTAACAAGATATAATCAATTTCCACACCATTTGCGTCTGTTTCGACTGCTGATATTTTCAGCAGCGACTGACCATCGCTCATTTGCACTTTGAATGGAGACTTTACATTTGCCTCATAAAAGACGTTCCAGTTGTGACCGCCATTGAATTCTTCTGTTGTATTAAATGACCACAGTAAAGTCCCATTGATTGATACATTGACAGTGTCAGCCGGCCCGTCATTGGAATAGGTGACACTGAGTAGTAGCAAATAGCAGGTGTTTTTAGTGTCGCCCAAGTGCAACCTTAGATCAATCTCTTCATCTTTATACAGAGTCACAGCAACCCCACCTGAAGCCTCACTTCTAGGTTGCTTTCGACCTCCATTTCCATTCTCAGCCTCCAGAGGCAAGGAACACTTATACTGAGCTGAGACATAATGTACTCCAAACAGAATTAGTGAAAATGTTGCTGCACGTTTGAGCATCGGTCCTTACTCCTTTGTTTCTTCCAATTATAGTTAGAACTAGGAGCTCACTACGGAGACCTAGAGAGCACGCGAATGGCGAGTGGGAGTGTCACAAGAACTGACGAGGGCGTAACGCGTCGAAAAGTCGAGCTGCAAACGCGTGAGGTGTATAATATAGCTACGTAATCGGCGTCTGATGATTCTGCTAACCAGTACCATAGAACCAGTCGATCCTATCAGCCGGCAGAGACATTTATGACATGTCTCAGTCAATCCGGACTTTTCCTTTTTCTTTTTAGAAGAAGAATAATTATGATGACACGAAA